TTCTATGTGACTATCTCTGTGAGATAGTTCTACTGATGTCCTGTGTTTTCTACTACTTGTTTTCTGCTTCCAAGCTGCTTTGTTAGGCGAAGGCAAAACTGGGTACGTTTAGGTCATTTGAAATGGTTCATGATTGAATGCAGTGTCACTCGTTCTGTGCAATTGCTCTACCATGGAATGTAGAGTTGTGTCATTGCCCCTCTGGGAACTGGAAATAGGAACTGCGTTTGGAGATTGAGCACACTGTGTGTACTCAACCATGAAGTGTTTAGTTACTCTATACTCCACTATTGAGACCTCTACATTGGCTGACGCTCCCGCACTTCCCAAGGGTATGCAGTATTGAAATCTTGATCTGTTTCTTCCTTGGACTTCATAAGCCTACTGGGAATTCTCACAATAATCTTTTTCCTTCCTTTAATGTAGTAGTTACTTTTTGCTTCTTGCAGTCAAAAATACAAACAATACAATTTACTTTTCATATGCTCTTGGATATTTATTGAACAATTTAACATTTATCTATGTGTGTGTATGTATGTGTGTGCATGAATGCGTGTGTGTGTGTGTGTGTGTGTGTGTGTGTGTGTGTGTGTGTGTGTGTGTGTGTGTGTGTTTGGGAGGGCAGGGTGTTCCCATGCCAGGGAGCACATGTGAAAGTGTAAAGACAACTTGTGGGAGTTGGTTCTCTTCCTTCTACCATGGAAGTCCCAGAGATTGAACTCAGGTCTTCAGGTTTCTACTGAGCCATTTCGCCTGTCTGCTATTGCAAATTTAATTTTGTAAAAGCATTGTTGTGTCCCACATTACTCTATCCCTGTTTTAATTTGACAGGTGAAAGAATGGAGCCAACAACTACCTAATGTTGATTTTGGAAGCTGAACAGAACAGGAGAACTCCCATTATATGTTGCAGAAATGGTGTGAGAACTTTGGGGTTGCCTGTGTAGGAGCAAACAAGAATGGTTTAGATTTGGGGCAAAGCTGAGCAGTGGACTTTTCAAACAGATTATTTGAGGTCCCCAATGCATTATTAAATAAACCTCAAATTTTCACTTCACTCTCAGATTAGTGGGATCTAAAATCTGAGTGACATTATAAATCGTTGTGGGTTTTAGAACTTGAAGGAGGTTAAGTTGCATTATAGAAAATAAAGTTGAATTACAGAAAATAATATATATTTTTTTGAGACAGGGTCTCATATATATAGCCCTGGTTAGCCTGAAACTTACTGTGTAGACCAGGCTAGTCTTGAATTTACCGTGACTGCCTGCCTCGGTCTCCAAAGTGCTAGGATGAAAGGCACATGCCACCATATCTAGCTAGAAAATAAAATTACATATGAACTTTTACCTTCTCCTCTCTTCTCCTTTTCCTCCTCTGATTTGGCTTTGTTGTTCTTGTTTTTGTTGCTCCTTTTGAGATAGAATCTCATGTAATCCATTGTGATCTCAAACTTCTATGTATCCAGAGCTGGTCTTAAACTAATTCTCCTGCCTCTGCTTCCCCAGTGCTGGGATGACAGAAGGTCTGCACAACACAGTTGGCTCAAGTTAGAGTCCTTGTACATCTTATTTTGTAGTCTGATTTGCATGGAAGGGAAAGAGAAAATTTTCTAATACTTTAGGTGAAGCTTTATAAAATGCAAATTATTTGACCAGTCATTCCCATTACATTCTTTAGCTAGCCCGTCGGCTATCAAGATTAACTTTAAAATGTTCATCCAATCTTATGACATATCTTTGTTTTATTAAAAATAAAGATCAGATAGGGGTCTACGTCAATGTTTAACTCTGTGTGTGTGTGTGTGTGTGTGTGTGTGTGTGTGTGTGTGTGTGTGTGTGTGTCTGTGTGTGTGTGTGTGTGTGTGTCCTGAAAACATCAGAGTTCAGGTGCCCCTGGAAGCTTGAGGCATTGGGTCTTCCTAGAGCTGTAGTAACAGGTAGTTGAGTTGCTCAATGTGAGTGCTGGGAACTAAACTCTGGGGTTCTGGAAGAGCAGTAGGAGCACCTAACCACTGAGCCCTCTCTTCAGCCCCCACCCCCATGCTAATTTTTAAGTACTTCTACACAACAAATCCCCCAAATCTTGATTCTATTTTTAGAGATCAAACCAGAGGCTTGGCCCATATCAGAGTAAGCATTCTTTGAGCTACATCCCCAGTCCTATATCACAATGACGCTTATATAGTCACAGAGGTGTATGGACATATAAGCCCAGATCTATTGATCTATTGATCTGGTGGGATGGCTCAGCAGTTAGGAATGCTTTCTATACAAGCCTGACAGACTGTTTGATCCCTGAGACCATGGTGGATGGAGAGGACACATCCTGAAGTGTTGTTCTCTGACTTTCATATGCTCATGTGCGCACATTCAGACTTACATATGAAAGTAAGTAGTGAGAGAATGAAACAAAGGAAGGAAGGGAGGAAAGAGGGAAGGAGAGGAGAAAAAAAGAAAGAAAAAGGGAAGAGGGGAGGGAGGGGAAGAGGAAGAAGGAAGGAAAGAGAAGAAGGGAGGGAGGGAGGGAACGAGGAAGAAGGAAAGAAGGAAAGAAAGACGAAAGGTTCTCGATGGAGTCTAGGCACAAAAGAACTTCCTGTATCTCCACATCACCTAAAGCTTTTTAAGTAGTTTTGGACATTCTCATTCGATTCACTCAGTAACTGTCAGTATAATCGGGTAAAGTAAATACTGTCATCAACTCCAGTTGTGTATATTTCCTCTAAATCAATGTTGTCCAATCAAATTTTAATGTGAAGTTGGGCATGGTAGCACCCATCCGTATTCTAGCACATGGGAGGTGGAGGCAGGGGCAGACAGATCACTGCAATTTCAAGATCAGCCTGGGGTCCACAGCAAGACAAAAAAACCAAGTCAAAGAAATGTACACACATAATTAAAAATAAAATCGTATTGAATTAAACTCCTACATAATGCATTTGGTTCAACAGAGAAGTGATTATTCCAATATAAAAAGATTACTTTTTTTTTTTTTTGAGATAGGGTGGGGCCTAGATCTGCTTTGCTGAGCAGGCTGGTGTCCAACTCACAGAGATGCACCTGTCTCTGCTTTCTGATTAATGTTGGGATTAAAGGCATATACCACCAAGCCCAGCTCTCTTAGAATATCTTTAAAAAAAAATATTCAGGACATAGTCTATATTTAGTTAGTTCAGATTGGCTACATTTCTAGTGCTTATTAGCTGTGTTGTTATCAAACAATAAAGCCAAGTAATTGCAAATTTGTATTTTAAAATTTCAAGACTGGTTTTTTAAAAAGATTTTATATGTGTGGGTATTTTGCCTGCATAGATATGTGCACCATATAACATGTCTGGTGGGATGGATCCCTTAGAACTAGAGTTACAGTTGTGAGCTGCCATGTGGATGATAGAAATTGAACCTGGGTCCTCTAGAGGAGCAGCCAGAACTCTTAACTGTTAAGCTATCTCTTCAGCCCCTTCAAGACTTATTTTTATGATGTTTTGCATGCATGTATGATTTTTTGTGTGTTTTGTGTTTGTGTATGATGGGGAAAGAACATGCATATAGTAATGGGCTATCATATGAGTTTCAGGGACTGAATTCAGGTCAAGCAAGTAGTTTTTACTCACTGAACTATCTTGCCAGGTTCCCAGAAAGTTTCTAACGAGCTTTCATTTTTTTTTTTTTTTTTTTTTGGTTTTTCGAGACAGGGTTTCTCTGTGTAGCTTTGCGCCTTTCCTGGGACTCACTTGGTAGCCCAGCCTGGCCTCGAACTCACAGAGATCCGCCTGGCTCTGCCTCCCGAGTGCTGGGATTAAAGGCGTGTGCCACCACCGCCCGGCGAGCTTTCATTTTTAAAACTTTGTCTTCATATACAATATAGGTTTTGCCGGGCAGCGGTGGCACACACCTTTAATCCCAGCATTCGGGAGGCGGAGCCAGGAGGATCTTTGTGAGTTTGAGGCCAGCCTGGTCTACTGAGATCCAGGACATGCACCAAAACTACACGGAGACACCCTGTCTTGAAAAACCAAAACAAAAACAATATAGGTTTCATGAAAAATGAAAAACCTTGCTTTGTCGACTAGTATTTCTCAAGTGCTACAGCAACATCTAACGATGCTCTATAGTAAATGTTAATTACTTTTTGAGACAGTCTATATAACCATGGCTGTCCTGGAACTCTACGATTAGGCTAGTCTTGAACCTACAGAGATCCACCAGCCTCTACTTCTACCACACCCACCCCTAAATGTTCAATTCTTATTTACTAGAGCTCCTTTAGCTATAGGGTGTAACAACTATTTACAGGTTTTTGGTTGCCGTGAGTGCATGCATGTATATATATCACCCCATGGAGGAAAAAGGACAGGCAACTTGCCAGGGTACTTCTATTTGGCAGTGATCAACTGTTTTTCCTCGGCCAGTGTCCCTCCCTGTGGGTCACAGAAGTGAAGATGCCTGACTACAGGCCTCACACAGTACACAGAAACTGCTACTCTGGTGGCAGTGGGTCAAAGCCAGTGGGAGCAGAAATGGTATATTGCCCCAAGGCACAGAGATAACTTTCAGGAGATTCTGATGGAGTCTAAGATGCCATTCCTTCATAGCTGCTATATGCAAACTTCTGGAAACAACTCAATTACTTAAGTTGTGTACATTTCTGGAAAACATAACAGACTTCAGTTTTCCTTAAGGTCGATTCCTAGACTCTGTCCAAGCTCATAGTACCTGGCACATCATCTAACCAAAATAAAATGTTTATTATTCAAAAAAAAAATTCAATGCTTTTAAAATTCAACATTTTAATAAGAAACAGTTGATACTGATAGTCTGTTGCTCAAAGGAAGGAAAGATGAGAAAAAGAAAAAGAATGGAATATTTACCATATCTGCTTGTATCAAAAAGAAAAGATATGGGAAGGGAAAAGCAAGTTAGTTACTTTGCAGCTGGTATCCATCCATGCACTTTTATTTTTGTAATCATGTTGATTTTGTAAATAAAAACAAAACAATAATTTTCAAAACCCATTTATTTATGAAATCATTAAGTTGACCTGCATAATTTCAACAAGTAAGAGCTTCATTGAAAAAAAAAACTGTGACATATAATTCATTTGTTTTTAAGAAAAGTCTTATTTACACATTGAGGAACAAAGGTTTCTTTTTGTTTTTTTTAATGTAGAACTCAGTAGAACATCCATCAAGCAGTCCTAGCATTCTAAGAACGCTCCAGAAAGGGAAACCCAAAGGGAGCTGCCGTCCTTCTCAATCATACTCAGAGAACCGAATGTGCTGACTGGCTTGTTGAGTCTTGGCCAGTCTAATCTTCTCAGCTTTGGTGATTAACTATAGGGAAAAAAGTAAGAAATTAGAATGTCTTGGACACTCCAAAATGAAAACAAAACAAAACAAAACAAAACAAAACAAAAAACAGTCCCAACCATGAAGTCTTACAATATTAGACTGAATGACGTGGTTTTTAAAAGCCGGGGGTAGAAAGACAAATGGGATCATTATGTTTTACAGAGAACTGGAGTTTTTCATGAAATAGATCTGAAATCTCTGAAACCTCTCTTCCTCCAATTACAGTGCATAACTCAAAATCTTTCAATTGAAATATCTGTCACTCCTCATTGAAGACTCACAATTTAGCATTATATTGTATACCGTCTGGACTTGCTTATTAATTCCTAAGACGAAATGGTATGAGTGAGATTCGATACCTCTAGGCTGTGTATTACTCAGGTTTGCTTTAAAAACTGCTTACTGGCCAGGAATGCTAACGCTTGCCTTTAGTCCCAGCACTCCAAAGGCAGAGGCAGGTGGATCTCTGTGAGTTCAAGGCCAACCTGAGAAACACAGTGGGATCCTGGCTGTCCTGGAACTCGATCAATAGATCAGGCTGGCCTCAAACTCAGAGAGTACTAGGAAAAAAGGCATACGCCACCATGCCCAGTTTATTCATTTATTTTTGAGACCAAGTCTTACAGGGTTTCTCTGTGTAGACTTGGCTGTCCTGGAACTCACTATGGAGACCAACCAGCCTAGCCCTGAACTCCCAAGTGCTGGGAGTAAAAGCATGCATTACTACACTCAGCTAATGTTACAACTCTTTTGTGCTTATTACATCTCCTAAAAGGTTTAAATTTTGCTTTACAAATGAAAAATTATGATTTCAAATAATCTACTATTAAGACCCGTCTTTATTAAAGAAAAATGTACTATATTATATATTATATAAAATAATGTATATATATATATATATATATATATACTTTAAAGGAAGAAGATTTTTTTGAAACACAGAAGACAACAGATTGAAACACTCCCAAAGCAGTTGCTGCTGCTTTTCTGCAGTGGGTCTCTGTAACCCCGGGTAGTCTGAAGGTCACTCTTCTGTCTTCTGAGTAGCTGGGATTGCAGGTACAAACTATTGTACCAGCTTCCTTAACAGAAAAATTATAGCTTAGTTTTATTTTTTCTCTTAAAAATATAGGCTCTAGAGCTAGGGATGTAGCTGAGTTGGTAGAGTTCTTGTCTAGAATATACAAGGGCCCAGGTTTGACATCTAAACACCACATAAGCTTAGGTGGAGGGGCCAACCTACAAGTGCAGTACTCAGGTGGTAAGGGCTGGGTGATCAGAACTGCAATGTCTTTCTCAGCTATACAGTGAGCTTGAGGTGAGCATGAGATACCAGAGACCTTGTCTAAATCAATCAGTCCACGAATCAAATCTTGTGTCATTTATGATTGATAGGAGGTCATAACATAATTAAAATAAAACACTCTTTACAAGTGACAAGAGTAAAATTCAAGATTCCCCAGCACACCAATGATGTTGTTCACAAGTAGGAATTCTGCCTTTACTGGGAAACACACCAGAAATTTTCACTGAAAAGGCCATTTCGAAGCTCATCCAAGCTATTGGGAACTCACAGACTCTAGACTGACAGCTGGGGAGCCTGCATGGGACCACACTAGGCCCTCTAAATATGGGTGACAGTTGCATGGCTTGATGTGTTTGTGGGTCCCCTGGCAATGAGACCAGGACTTACCCCAGGTATACAAACTGGCTTTTTAGAGCCCATTCCCTAAGACAGAATGCCTCACTCAACCTTGATCCAAGGGGAGGGGCTTGTCCCTGCCCTAACTGGGTATGCCAGGCTGTGTTGACTACCCAAGGGAAGTCTTACCCCTGCCAGGGGATGGGGGTAGGATGGGGAAAGTGGGGGAGGGGGAGGAAGAGGGAACAGGGTATGTAAAATTGGTGTGTAAAATGAAAAAAAAAAATTAAATAAAAAAACTATCATTACAAAAAAAAGACCATTTTGATTAAAAACAAAGGCAAATATCTTAAAAAACAAAAACAAAACCATGGGTGGTGAGAGATCCTTTAGGGGTAAAGGCACTTTCTTCAAAGCCTGATAACCACAGTTCCATCATTAGGACCCACATGGTAGAGGGTGAGAACTGATTCTAGCAAGCTGTCCTTTAATTACCAAATGCATGCTGTGGTACATGCACATCCACATGAAATCTAAAAATATAATTTAAAAAATCACAGAATATTTAAACAACTGAAGAGAAGAAATAAAAGCTTTATTTTGGGGCTGAGAATGGCACTGTAAGGCCTTGGTTTTGATTCCTGACTTATCCTGACTCCCCTTTGGCAGATCCTTCCTTAAGTTCCCAATCCTGTGAGAGCTCATTTCCATGTGCCTCATTTTCACATGTAAATCTCTCTGTAGAGTAAACATACTCTGCACTGATTTACTTTTCTACTTTCAGTCCTAAAACTGAACAGGGATGCGGTCCAGACAATGTGTCCTACCGCATAGCATGAAACGAAGAAGAACTGTGAGGTTTTAAGTGGTTTTCTCCACTCAGGGCGCACCAGTCTCTACTGTGGAAACTGAGCTGTTGCATCAGGAAGGAATCATGCCAGAATCACTGAAATTCTGCCCTTGGTTTCCATACATCTACCTCCCATTCCTTTAGCCTAGAAGGCTGTGCTTCTGAACTCTCAAGTGAATGTAAAGCTACCTGGTTTAGTTTTCTGTGCCGCACTGGTAATGTTTATAGCAAGCTAAGGAAGAATAAGGGGATTTGTTATCCATGACTATTATTCTACTTGCAGGAAAGGGGCTAACACATTCAGAGAGTATTAGCAAGCTCCAGCAGATAGCTCAGCAGTGGAGCACTTACTTAATCTCTTCCAGCACCAGAAAACAACAACAAGGACAAGTGAGATTGGCAAACAAGTTAGCTGAGGTTCATTTTCTTCAAACAAACTTCCAACACCATTTACTTGGTGTGGAAGATCCATTGCATTTCACTCCATGAAATCTGCTGGCTTCAGCTGTTCCTACCTGGATCATAACAACAACAACCCTGATAACGAAGCATGTGAAAACTGGACAATGAGGAATGTAAATTGTTGTTGTTCTAGTTTAATTTTATAAAATACCCTGGAAATGTTTATTTCTTTGCCTGAGACCAAGATGAATCTTGATAAATTTCTAAAACAAAAAATAAATTGTTGTAATTACTAGTTAAAAAAAGTATAGACAATTTAAACAAAACTTCACACCAATTAGAAGAACAAATATTACTGGCCTGATTACAGTTCATTTATCTGTTCTGGATTACTGACTTTAACATCTTACCATCTCAAACAAGCTTTGAAATTAACACCTCCAAGACTAGAAAGAGCCTTGAGAAAGGAAGGGGGCCTCCCCATCTCAGCAAGATCAGGCTCCATTCAAGAAAAAAAAAATTCACAAAGAGCAATAGTCGCAAACATCCCTGTCAATCATCATAAATGCCAAAGGAGCACTGATGAAACATACACCAAGCCAATAAGCACAAAACATTTGAGTCAGGGCTTTCAAAGTTCTTAACAGGTTGTTCGAAGCATTTTGCCTAAACAATATTTAAAAGGGTAAAAATCTGTTTTCAAAGAATAAATGGCATTCTTGGTGAGAAGTTATATGAATATCATAGAAATAAAATTGTTGAATGAGTTTGTTTTAATTATTTTGGTTTGCTTGTACCACTTACTGATTATCAGAAAAATAATAAGTTTTAATAACAACAATAGTAATAATTCTCATTGTCACTGGGAACCTGATACATTAAGTCTCTCAATCCTATCTGCAAAAAACCATCTTTCTAAGGGAATCATGCCCAAACTACAAAACACAGCAGCTCCAAATCAAGACTGAGTCTGTTTAACATGCACTACTGCTTCAAAGCACAGAAAACTCTAAATTACAATTATGGATGCCTGTGAGTGAACGATTTTAATTTCACCCATTTTGAAGCCAGGAGAATCTGTATTCTTTCTCAGTTTGAAACAGTACTCTAACAGGAAAGCCAAAGTGAAAAGGTGTCCTCATTTATTGCTGTCAGAAGATGCATTTAACTCTGTCCTTACCTTCTCCGTGCCTCTTTTCTTCTCCCGAGGTTGATTAAGTTTGGCCTGTCTATCTACCAAAATCTTCTGCCAGTACCTCTGCTCGTGATCACCTTAAAAACAAACAATAGCTCTGATCAATGAATATAAGGATATACATTCTAATCTCACCAGCAGAGAATGTTTGGGAGGAAGAAAGCTACTTCCATTAGTCCAACGAAGAACAAATAGAAAAATTACCTACAATAACAACTGTTTATTAAAAAAAAAAAAACAAATTAGGTTTACCAGAAAGGACCTCGAGGTTCCAACAGTGCTTCTTTCTAATTTCAGTCTGTGCATTCATTACCGCCTGAGCATCCTCGGGAGTTTTGAACCGGGCATGGCATTCAGTATCTCCTTCTAGCAAATCAACGTAAACAACTTCTGAGATTGTGGCCAAAATATCCTACATGGTAAAGTATAAAGACTTAAAATCAACACACAAGATGTCTCACAATAAATGAATGTACCCACAAAGGTTGTCAAATGTATTACATCAATAAGCTACTCTGTAGTTGATGGGTAAATACATAAAACACTTCTAAAATACACAGAAAAACTCTTAAAAAAAGATTTGGACAAAAATGAGAAGCAATCTAACAACTCATCAAAAATTATTTTCCCTCACTCTCTTGGAAGTCTATCCTTAAAAGATGAACTTACATGGGGACCAGCTAAAGGCAAGGTTTGTAGAGGGGAATATAAATGACCCTTCTCCCAGCAACCTGGCTGTAGGCTAGTACAAGAAAGATTAAAAAGAAAGGGCTTGAGAAGTTTATTTTCACTCACCTATACAATACCATGTTTGACTTAGAGCACATGGAACCATCTTTCAACATTTTACAAAAACCAACAGGAATCTTAGGGTTCTTGGGTAGATTTACTGGAACACAGCTGACAGCTCTCAGTTTTCGATAAAATACCTAAGTAACCCTTTCTAAGTAACCCTTTTGATAAGTAACCCCTTCTAAGCAAGCTGAGGTCCCCAACAAGGGGGACAGTTTTACCTATAATGCCCCACTGTGAAGACTAATTAAGAAGATTCTTGCATTCTTAATCTATTTTTTTCTCACAGCAGGTTCTCTACAGAACATAATGCATTTATGCAGGAATGTTACAGTAAACTCAGTTGTCAAATTTCATTCATTAAAGCCAAAGAAATAAATAGATTTCCAACTGGAAAGAAACTCTAGTTTAGACCAGAATTTTCTAGACACAGGAACTCAAATTATTTTAATGTAATGACTTTCCAGAGCCATAGAAGGAATTGAATCTGAAAATATTATTTCATTGTAGAATAAAAAGTTTATTAGTTAACAGTAAAGGATAATAGGGATTTGCAAGTTTTTGGACGACAGAAACTAGTCTTAACTCACCCTTAGCACACAATATACTGTGATAAAAGAACACCCTTAGTGAAATAAAAAGAACTGGAGAGAATTGTACCTGAGAAGTCCTCAAAGGTTTTATCTAGTTAATCAGATGAACTAGGATACATAGTAAGAGATCAATCTGTATTAAGTTGATGAAATTGTGATGTATTCTCTGGTAGTGCTAAGATAGTTTAGAGTACCACAGTTCAAAAGATATTTACTATATTATATCCACTATAAAGTCAGGCTAATCTACTCATGTAAAATTCATATAATGACATATCTGTCTGGTAATCAGTAATAAGAGCACACACAGATTACAGGAAAAAAAAAACAAAAAAACTATTTCACTGTATTTTTCAATTAAAAAATGTAATTGGTACAGTTCTATAGAAAATAATGTAACAACATAATGTATAGTATTAAATGTCCTAAGATGCGAAAAAGTAATTTATTTTATACAGTATGAAATAAAGTGGCTAGGCTGGGAAGTAGAAACAGCAGAGTATCTGGCCTGGGCCAAATAATGAGTTAAGACAGCCTGTGCTACAACAAAAAACTTGTCTCAGAAAAACAACAAAAGGAATGATCATTTGGAAATCTTAGTCCTGGTTGATGAATATAAATCCATAAATACAGCAGGTGGTTACAACTTTCAAATAATCACTGAGCAAGTATATTATGAAATACATTTTTAAAAAATGATGGCACCAAATGTCTTTTTAGAACTCTTACAACTGAAAAAACTCTTTCAGAGCATAATACTGAATACATATTATTTCACCAACTGCAATTTAGAGTCTCTGCACTCTTCTTCTCTGAACTACACAGCAGCCAGCTATTAGTGACTCAGTAAGAAAAGGCAGTCAGACTGTTCGATGGGCCTCTCATTTCCTGAAGAATCAAGAGTTATCAGAGTTACCATGGATTCAAACTCTACAAGTAGTTTATCAGAGAGGTACAAATTCTAACTAGACTTGTTTTGTTTTCCATATTATTTTAAAAACGTTTCACACAGGGATCATAAACATTACCCTGACTTGCTTCCTGCCAGGTAGAGGCTCTGTGCTCGTGATCTTCACAATAACTCCGTTCACGAACTGTGGACCTTGTGCACTGGCCTTCCCCTGGGTGCAGCACTCTGGAGGGCCAACTGCTGATGTGAGAAGGAAAAGGCCAGAGGTCACTTTCACACCCCTGACATTTAACATGAGGAGCACTATCCTACAACAGCAGCAGTGATTTCTCAGGCTAATTTAAATAGCTTAGAATTGTGCATTTTAAATTAAGACTAATGCATTACACTGCCCATTTGGAAATTAACATGAAATAAAAGCATTATTGTCCTGAACAAAAGAATAAAACTCGAATAAAGGGGAACGGGGTTGGGGAGGCTGTGGCTGGGATGTAAAATAAATAGATGAATTAAATAAATAAATTTCTAACTAAACAATCTTTACTAATGTTACTATCAATAAGACCAATTCTTTAATATGTTCGTGTTCAGGGTTCATCTTCCACTGAAACTGCAGTCTTTACTGCCATGTCCAGGCAGTCATGAGGAAACTCGTGGTAATGAAGAGGGTAAGCAGGCTGTTAAAGGTCTACTGTTGAATATCAACACTGCAATTTCTTCTTTTCTTTAACCAGAGTCTCCAGTGCATCCCGACATTAATGCTGTGTAGTGAGCCTCACCTTTCCCATTATTCACTCCAGACTCAGCAGCCGCGGCACAGTCTGTTTCCATTTCTGACTCCAATTTTATCTGAGATATCGTTTTTTTCAGAGAAGCCATGCTGGCTTTCTGCAGCGCCAAGTACTCTTTTTTCAAATCCATCCACTCAGTTCTGTAAAACAAAAAACTGAGCGACTGAAAGAGTGACAAGATGACTCAAGGAGAAACCCGAAGTTGAACTAAAGATAGAAATTCCCAGTCTTTCCAACTTTCCTTTCTTTTAAAAGCATACACTTACTTAGTTTTTAGGCCGTAAATCTATCTAGTAAACATACAAATAAAGTTCTTTTTCATTAACATTCAGGTAAAATGCTTTAATCTTCCAGTTAAGTTCCTAATGTGTTTTTAAAATTTTTTAATTGTAAAAGCAAAATTTTGAGTTACTTCCTCAAAGTAACATTCACTAAATTAGGCAACTGTGGAGACAAGTGAGAGACTAAAATTCAAAGATTTGTTAAATTGCTTCCAATTTGAGAGATAACATTCCTTAGGATTTACTTAAATCAAAAGGAATTTCTAAGAAGAAAAAAAACACCCCATGGAAGCAATTTATTTATTTACATCCATTTACCATGTAGATGTCTCTTCAAACAGCCAAGGCTCCTCCAGAGAGCAGCACAATGCCTCTCCTGGCTCTGTGGGAGTGCTCATTGTTACCCTAATCTATGCCATCAAACAAGCAGATAGGAGATTTTTTTTTAAAGAGAAGGATATCTTGTGGTAATGGTTTTAGCAGTTAACATTGACATCTGTTTACTTCAAAAAAAAAAAAAAAATCCAGAGCTACCCAGGATCCCCAGGACCTACTTTCCCTGAGAGCTGATGCATTAAAATAACAAAGGCTCTTGTAATGATTCTCTGAGATAGAAAGCCAAAAGGAATTCAGGAGTTAGGAGTAGTATAAATAGAAGTGTTCGGAAGTCACTGGCTTTCACCCTCCAAGCAGAGAAGGAGATTCTTTGGGGCCAGCTCACAAAGGTAAGCTATCTCTGTGACCTGTGTCGTTTCTTTTCTCTCTGGTTGTGCCTGTCTTTTTAAACAAGTTGCCTTCTGGGTGGGTTCCCTTCCACTTTAACATGGGAGTGCTTTCTGTGTCACGTAAAAAGAGTAAGTGCTTCCATGTTTTAGTAGAAGTGAATTCAGTGTACACCTGGAGTGGATAAGCTAACAACTACTAAGTATGAAGGAGTCCCCTCTGCTTTAACATGGGGACACCTGCTGTGTCAGACAAAAGTAAGTGCTTCCATGTTTGAGTGGAGGTGTCTCAAACCATTCGGCATGCTCTTCTTAATTTAAAAATGTTGCAGGTTAAGAAGCAGAACTTGGCAACTATAAAGACTGGGTTCCCCATCACTTAAACGTGGATGTACTTGCTTTGGAACTAAGAAAGTAAGTGCTTCCATGTTTTGGTGATGGTGAGTTTTCCTTTTCCATTCTCGGGCCTCTTAAGAATTTCGCTGATACCTGTTGAAGGGGCCTCCTTTCTTTAACATGGAGGCACTTGCTGTAAGTTTATAAAAATAAGTGCTCCATGTTTCAGTGTGGTGGCTCCTGCTTATCTTCACTTTCTACTGCAAATGGACTGTAAGCCATCACTGTTGCTAATATGCAACTCTGTTGACTAGAGATTGGAATTGCACTTTAGCAATGGTGATGGACTGACTGCCACGGAGAACGGACGTACTTACTTGGACAACACTCTCAACGGTATAACCTCTTCTCCCATTTTATGTCTCTCCTTATGTTTTTTCTTATGCTTCCTCTTCACTTTCAGGAGTGAGTCACCTTTTGTGTCTCCAGTCTCTTTCTCCTCTTCTGTAGAGCAGAATTCTAAGTCTAGAAAAAACATTCTCTTAAGACAAGTTGTGGTTGGGAAACAGCTAAAAAGTCTGCACTATCTAATCCTAACACAGTACCTCTGCTTTCCTTGGAGACTTCAGAAGCAGCTTCGCTAAGGCCATCCTTCTGAGTCCTTTTCTTGGTTTTTGGCCTGGGGGGGAGGCAGTCTTCGTCCTCAGCGCTGCTTCGCTCCCTCTTCCCTGTTCTGACTTCAGGTAAGACGGATGCCTCGACCTTGTCTCGTTTCCTCTTTTTCTTTGCAGGTTGCTTTGGAACGTCAGGAATCTCTGCTTCAGAGCCTTCTTCGGAGGCCGTCCTTGGTCTCTTAGCTTTGCACACATCCGTGCTACCGGTGTCTATACTTAACTCTTTGGCCTGCACACTGTCTTCCTTCTTTAGTCTGCCTTTCTTCTTCTTCTTCTTTTTCTTCTCTTCTGTAACAACAATGTTGGAAAATGTTTATTTCTCTATGAATTCAGTATGTACCTCCTGTGTCTTAGGTACTCACCAGCTACTCTTAAGGAAGGGATGGGTTTGTTTTTAACTGTCTTGGGAAATATGCCAGGTTTTCTTGGTGCTTCTTCGGGTGGGTTGTTAAGAAACTGAAAAACAGCATCAAAAAATGATTGCAAGAAAAAATGTATTCATACTAATCCCGTGTTTTCTCTTTTTTTTTTCCCAAGGTCACACAGACCGTACCTCAATGGCTTTTGCTGCTTGTTCTTTCGTTTCAAACTCCACAAAGGCAAATCCCTTGGGATCCCCTGTAGACTTGTAATGTGGAATACTTATGTAAACCACATTGCCACATTTCCCAAATACTCTTTCAATCCAGCTATGAGTAACATTTTTGGGGAGTAACTCCTGGATAAATCAAAAGTGATATGAACTCAGTTTAAGCATTCTTTAAATTCCTACATTTTATCAATAAATGGAAACTAGAATCAAATTTGTGTATTTTCTTACCACATACACGGTGCGTTCCTCCTCATCCTTTGGCCTCTCACCTAGGGGCTTTTTTCTCCGGATTTTGGTTCCCTCTAAGTCCAACTTTAAAGAAAAAATTGAGGTTTAAAAGTACAGTTAATAATTAATTTGGTGTGATTAATTTGTAATGAAAAAACTTTACCTCTACCACAGATGAGCTTTTCAATGCTCTTGCTATTAGCTTCCCATCAGTGGTTAACTTCTTCATTTTGTTAAAAGATACCAGAAGAGAGATGTCCACATCTAGTTGAAATGCAGAAGGTGGTAAGATGTTAGCTTTTAAAAGTGGTGTGTGTTTGTGTTACTGAGCAATCTCTGCTTGTGATTTTAAATAAAATGCAGGCAGGCACTGGCCCCATAAACATGGATACCCATAGTAATTTTCTTAATGTGCATTGGTCCCTTGGAATTGGACAGTTATGAAGTGTTTGTTATGTGAGTGCTTGCAATTGAACCCAGGTCCATCTCTCTAGCCCCCCTAAAAAAAAAAGAAATGGGAGTTTAAGAGGAAGGAAACTTACATCCATCTCTAGATTTTTCAATTTGCTCGCGAAGAAACCTGTCCTTGTGAAGGTTTGCATCCCCAAACCAGAAGTCTACCTGCTTGGCAATATCTGCAAGCACCTGTTTAACCCTTGAGCGTTTCTTTTTTTCTTCTTTTCTCTTCTCAGTGCTTTCTTCCATAGTTTTTTTATTTTCAGTTTCCATTCTGTAAGTTAATATAGAAATGTACATATTACCCTTGAAGCCACAACCTTTCTGGACAAGAGGAACTCAGTGGCCCACTGTGTATATTATATATACATGGTATACACAGTATACATCTTCACAAGTATATGTACATATGCATATAATGTATGCCTCTGTTGCCTGAGCCTTCCTGCTGCCAGACTTAAAGCAGAAATAAATGTGTTTCCAAGGAGCAAGACCTTGATGCATCTCGCTCAACCAGTCAACTTTTGGCATTTTTAAAGCATGTTATAAAGCTGGTCAAGCACCAATTTTGAAAGTATAGAGAAAGCATAGAAAAAGATGTTGTATACAAGTATACAACATCTGGCAAAACAGTAAGGTGGATAACCAGGGGCCTCATAGATTTCATTCCTACCATTCTAGTGGAACTCTATTACTAGAGCTCAATGTCTGCTTGAGCCCAGTGCTTACCTGACCTCCCAGCAGCACTTACAGTCACAAATTCCTTCATTGTAGATCTTTTCTTCATAAAGTTTTAAAGAGTTTCCCTCTTCTAGTTTCTTCTACTGTGTTTTACCTTAATACGTTGTCTATGACTAGACTCATATCTTGGATCTTGGCCTCTGTTCTTGACTCAACCTTTCTGAGGGTCCTGCTAATCAGTATTGGGCTATATATATACCTCACAAACCATATTCTCTCATTAGTTCCACATTCCAATAGTCAATTGTACTTGACATCTCCATTTGTTCATTTAGAGGGTATCTTAAACTTAACATGATAAAAACAGAATTCTAAATTTATTTTTTAAAGATTTATTTATTGTGTATACAGTGTTCTGTCTGCATATATGCCCGCAAGCCAGAAGAGGGCACCAGATCTCAATACAGATGGTTGTGAACCACCATGTAGTTGCTGGGAATTGAACCCAGGACCTCTGGAAGAACAAGCAGTGCTCGTAACCTCTGAGCCATCTCTCCTGCCCCAAGTTCTAAAATTTTAACAGATTTTTATCACATTGAGAAATACCAACTACAAGGCAGAGAGTAAGATTAGAAAGTAGTCTCAATTCCTCCCACTGTACAGTCAATTCATTAGCAGTTGTACTAGCACTGGCTTTAAAATATAGCCTGAACATTAACACTTCTCATTCTAATAAACCACTCAACTCCAAGTTATTATCACGTCTCACTTAACTATCCAAGATCTTCCTTAATAGTTTACTTGCTTCTACTACTGCTTTCTTATAATCCATTTTCTGCATAGGCTAATAATCACTGAAATATGTAAATCAGGACAATTCTTTGTACAAACACTCCCAAAGACTTAACACATTCAGCACAGAGTCCAAAGACCTTACAGTGGTTTACTAGGTCCTATATAATCTGACCTGGACACATTTCTCCAACTTTATCTTCCACAACTCTTTCAGCAAGCTTATAACATGTCCACCCCTAAGTTCCTTAAATATGCTAAAGCCATTTCTGTCTGCAGGCCTTTGTTCTTTCTGCTGTCTCTTTCCCCAACACCTGTATAGTTTAATATTCACCCAGATCTGTGAATGTCACTGTCTCAAAGAGGCCTTTTCTTTCATCCAACCTAAAATAGTACCCTTGATGTCAAAGTAAACTATACTCCAAACTTTTCTTTCTATGCTCATCACTCTCTGGAATTAAGAGCTGTCTATCTACCCCACTATAATCTAAATATAGAGAGGCAGAGGCTTCAATTTGGTCACTACATATTTGTGAAGTGGTTAGATATATTTAAAAGTACCCAGAGCTGGGCATGGTTGTATACATCTAAATCCCAGCACTCATGAGGTACTGGCAAGTAGACCTCTGTGAGTCTGAAGCCAGCCTTGTTTGTATCACGAAAATATGGCATTAAGCATTTCAAATTCTTTTCTAAGGCGGTAAGGTATAAATATAAACATAGACTACAACAATCACACAGCAGGCTCTACTGCTAACAGTTACTTAGAAAGGGCAGACTTCAAACTATACAGTTCTCTTCCATTAAAGCCAACAGTCCAAGGCAGTGGTTCTCAACCTGTGGGTCGAGACCTATTCCAGGTCCCATATCAAACAGAAGTTTACATTACAATTCAGAACAGTAGCAAAATTAGTTATGAAATTGCAACAAAATAGTTTTATGGTTGAGGTTACCACATCATGAGAAACTGCATTAAAGGGTCGCAGCATTAGGAAGGTTGAGAAGCACTGATCTAAATAAGGCATACTGGAATCTCTATAGCCACACTATCTACATCTACTAGATCTAAAGCAGGGTAGACAGAAGAGTAGAAACACAGAATGTGGGGCTGGAGAGATGGCCTAGCGGTTAAGAGCACTGACTGTTCTTCCACTGGACCCTGGCTCAATTCCCAGCACCCACATGGCAGCTCAAGACTGTAACTCCAGTTCCAGGGGACAGACACCCTTACACAGGCAAAACAACAATGCATAATAAATAAATAAATAAATAAATAAATAAATAAATAAGAACAACCACAGAATGCCACAGTTATCAGTCCACTCTCTTAGCTTACAGGCCCTCCTTCCTGTTTCTCTTAAGGGTTACTTTTGTAGCTTAGCATATTCCAGCTCAGAATGATAAAATACATCTTCAATTTAGAACATGATACAGATTAAACAGAAAGTCACATAAACTATAGAACAATTTAGCCTCCTTACACTGGGCCTGAAGAGACCAGTTAGTGACATGGCAATACCTGGGTTACAGAGACCCTACACTTCACCCTCTTCTGTCTGTCTCCCTCATGCTGACGGTCTTCCATATCCTAGGCCAATATCCAACCACTGAACTACTCCTCAGTCCTTGCTATACTCTCAATGCTATTTGTAATTTCCCAGGGTTCTATAATAACATTCCAAAGGAAATTTATCCTTTCCTTCCAAAGCCCATTTACCCTCACTAACACTGTAACCCACAAATTTGATCAAGCAAGCCTGTATGTGCTTTGAGTAAGTTTCCTCATCTCTGTGGTTCATAAAATGTGGATACAAATCTTATCTATATAATAGAGTTACTGTGAAGATTAATTAGAAAAAATGTAATTTCAACACTTAAAAATGCTGCGGTGGAGAGGTCTGCAGAGATAGCATAGTGGTTAGGAACACTCACTGCTCATGAGGACACAGGTTCAGTTCCTAGAAGTCAAAGCTCACAAGCTCCTATAACTCTAGTTCTAGGGGATCCAAATCATTCTTCTGACCTCTGTGGGCATGTGGTACACATGCATACATTCAGACACATATATACTTAAGTTAAAAAAAGATTCTCAAAACAAAACCAGCTGCTCTGGAGAACATAATACGTAGCCATGTTATTCTTTACCAACTGGTCACTAAATCCTACCAATTTGATCTTTGAAATGGCTCTCATCCCCCTTTAGTGTTTTCCACAATTGTCATTAGAATATGATAAGTTTATAGCATGCTCTAGAAGTCATCTATCCTTTACAGAAGGCTATGTGTCACCTGCCCATAACATTGATATGGTTTGTGAAGTTTATTTCTCAACTTGCAACATTAGTAATTCCTTATCATTTTTCCTGTGGTGTCCTAAGTATTAAAATACTGCTAAATGGGCGTGGTGACACACAACTTTAATCCTAGCACTCAGGAGGTGGATCTCTGAGTCCAAAGCCAACCTGCTCTTCAGAGCAAGTTCCAGGACAGCTAGAAACACCCTTTCCACAAACAAACAAACAAACATGGTCTTGGAACAAAGAATAAAAAAATACTGTGAAACAATGCCAGTCACTTTATATACACTGTTCTAAATCTTTACAATCCTACTATGTAGTTTCTTTCAACTTTTTTTTTTTTTTTTTTTTTTAGGTTTTTCGAGACAGGGTTTCTCTGTGCAGCTTTGCGCCTTTCCTGGATCTCGCTCATCTAGACCAGGCTGGCCTTGAACTCACAAAGATCCGCCTGCCTCTGCCTCCCAAGTGCTGGGATTAAAGGCGTGCGCCACCACCGCCCGGCAACTTTTTAAAAGGAGGACAAAAGGTTATGGAATTTAGTCAAACCTAGCTAGGTAAGCAAACCATTGATATGTTTGAATGTTATATTGCCTATCTTTTAGTAGAAGCTTCTACAGTTTGTCACTATTCATATTATATCCTGATCGAGGAATTCTTTATCTGAAGTCCATGACACTTCAGGTGAATTTCAAGAAATCTTAGGAATCCATGAGATGGCTAGAAGATAAATTTTAAAGAAAAGGTAAAATCATGCTTGTACAAATACAAAATGAATATGGCAAAACTAAGTGCTACAAATCCATTTAAAGGAGCAAAGACCAGATCAGTATGCCATAGAAAGTTGAAATGAATGTTAACAGACATTGGTCAGGGCAATAACTAATTACGTCTTATTCGGGCAAACACGATTTCCATCTTTTACGCTTTTCTACAAGTTACAAAGTTGTAACGTTGTTCAAAGACAGTGAATGTCATAGATAATCTGGTAGTGAACTATACTAGATGTAAAGTAAAAAATTTTTTTCCCAATTTCAAAGTCACAGCTTTTGCTTGTAAAATCATACGCAAAATGTTTCCGTGGGTCCATGTAAAATTTCCAAAGAAACTTGGCCATGACATTTTTCAGGTTATGAACAAAAAGAAGTGTACCCAAAAGATTGAGAACCAAAGTTTGGTCATGGCAAGACAATATTGAAAGGTAGCAAAGCACTTAGTGGCCTGGATCTTTGCTCCCGAAGAACCTTCTAGTGTAAATACCCTTTATAAACCCATTCGACTTCCCACCACCGCCCTGCTTCGAAGGACTACTAAATGTAGTCTTCTTGAGGGCTTCCAGTCTCAGCGAACTGTCCACTCTTAATTTTCCTTAGCTCCTCATAAACGCACTCGGAACTTAATACTCATCACTTATTGTTAGCTCCTTCTTAAAACGTATTTTCTATAGGAGGCTAAAAGGACGAACGGCTTGCAAAAGAAAAGACAATTTTAGAATGCGAGTCCTCACAACTGCTGTCCTTTGGAAGGCGAAGCTCATCCCCAACCTGCCTAGCTCCCACAGCTCCACTCAGCAACTGCACTTCCGCAAGGACACCCTCCCAGAAGCCGGGCGTGCCCCCAAACTCCCAACACTAAGCTCGGCTCGCCCCCTCTGTCCTAAGAGTGGAACTGCAAGCGCGGCCAGAGAACTGCGCGTGCGCACAGAGTAGCCAAGCCAACGGACTGGCGGTGAGGGGGGCGGGGTGGGTCGGACCACAGCTAGGAAGGTGGACCTCAGGAGACCGGACTCAGAGTTTACACTTCGCCGGGTCTGAGCGGCTCTGCAAGAGGCCATCTGCGACTTACTCTGCTCGCGTCCCCAAATCCACGCTCAGCGACTGCCTTCTTCCACGCTTTCTGTCCCCCAAGCCTTCGAGTCGGCGTAAATTCGCGTCATCCGACGAGCGACGCGCTTCGTCTCAGCCCGCTGTGGAAAGCAGGGTCCGAGCCGCGGCTTCCGTGTGACGTCATAGGCGGCGCCTCTCGGGGGGCGGGATCGAAGGGGGCGGAGCCAGGCGGGGAGCGCGCTTCGATGTGGAATTCCATTGGTGGTTGGCGAACGGCGGCGGTGGGTGGGTGGGTGGGGCCTCAGCGGCACCGTCCCTGGTTGATGACGTCACGCCAGTTCGCGGGAGAAATTCGAAAGTGGATTCTGTGCCAGTGAGGAGGTGAAGACTTTCTTCTAGGGGATGGAGGGCGGCTAGGCCGGGAGACTTGGCACGGTTGGGAGAGCCTGGACACTGAGTCACCTCCACGGAAGCGGCCCACGGGGCGCCGTTAGGGTGCTGGGTGAGGCGGTCACCATTGAGCCCCGTCCTCGTCGTCGTGGTGGTTGTTTTAGGGGCTGACAAAGGACCGAGGCTCCATTGTTTTATTTAGGGACCCAAACCTTTGATTAGTCAAAATTTGGCAAGTGAAAGGTAATGTTTCTTTTAGTTATTTGTACTGGTGGTTTCTTAACAGGACGTGCGTGGTTTGGGCGGTGCTGGCGAGCGAACCTAGGACCTTGGGCTAGCTTGGTGAATGCTCTCCTGAGCCACTGTAGCAGCTTTCCTCATAAAGCAAGGTTATGCCAACGGCTCCCCGCTGTCTTCACGGAAAGCTCTCACGCCTCAGCATAACACAAGAAAGGTTGTATACATCCGATTACTGGTACTGATGACTCGCGCCTTATCGCTCACCTCGCCCTCTAGCGCTCAACCTGTGCTGTGCTAGTAAGGGATCAGGCCGCTGTGCATACTGCTTCCGGTTTGGGAGTCACCATCCCTGAAGAGGGCTTGTTGAGCTCCAGAACCGGACTTTCTAGTTTAATAGATCAAGGATAGGACCTAAAATGTTCATTACTGACTAGTTTTCGTGTAGTGGTCAAGTCATGTCTATGGAACGACTTGAAGATATGTGTACTCACTGTGTGCTTCAGTTCACCATCGATGATTTCAGATTTCAAAATTTGGCGCTCTCTCTCTCTCTCTCTCTATATATATATATGTATATATATATATAATTTTTTTTTCCAGTACAGGATAGTTACAGTAGCTGCGGCAACACTGTTCAAAAAGATTTTTCTTCCTGGGTGTTGTGGCACATTGCCTCTAATATCTCAGCTACTCCAGGGGCCAAGACAAGAGGATTGTGCAACAGGCCAGATCCTATTTCAGACAAACAGAAAGGACTAGGCATGTGGAAGCATTGTTACTTAGCTTACACAGGACCCTGTTGTCAGCCCCTTGAGTTGGAGAAAGAAAGGAAAGAAAAGATGTTTCCTTGAAGAGGTATAATATAATGCATATTTGGTCCAATGGTGTTGTATTACATTGACTAAGGTATATAGTCTGCCCTCTGTAACTGGATTCAGCTAGCTGTAGACTGGAAATATTCAGAAAAAAAATTGTCAGTACTGAGCATGCAGATTTTTTTGTTATAATTTCTTTCTTTCTTTCCCTTTTCCTTTTTTTTTTTTTAGACAGGGTCTCTTTTAGCTATGTAGTTCTGGCTGTCCTGGAGCTGTCTACGTAGACCAGGCTTCCAGGCTGGCCTTGAACACACAGAGACCCACTTGACTCTGCTGCCCTTGCTCTTGAATCAGAGATGTGTGCCAGCTGGGTTTGTGGTGGTGCATGCCTTTAATCCCAGTACTCAGGAGGCAGAGGCAGGAGGATCTCTGTGAGTTGTAGGCCAACCTGGTCTACAGAGCTATTTCTAGGACAGCCAAGGCTACACAGGGAAACCCTGTCTCTCTCTCTCTCTCTCTCTCTCTCTCTCTCTCTCACACACACACACACACACACACACACACACACAAACAAAAAACAAACAAAAAAAAAACCCCTACAAACAAAAAGATGTGTGCCACCAAGCCTGACTGCTTGCTTTGGCTTTTTCTCTCTCCCTTTTTTTTGGGGGGGTGGGGGCAGGGAGACAGGGTTTCTCTGTGTGATAGCCCTGACTGTCTTGGAGCTTACTCTGTAGACCAGGCTGGACTTGGAACTCACAGAGATCTGCCTTCCTCTGCTTCCTGAGTGCTGGGATTAAAGACATGCGCCACCACTGCCCAGCTATCATTTCTTAAACAATACAGTTTAATCACTCACTATATGCATATTGCTGACAATGCATTAGGTATAAGTAATCTAGGGATGATTTAATGTATATTGGAGAATGTGTACATGCTCCTGTATTATAAGCAAAAACTTTGACATTTATGTGAACTCAAGTGGCTACAGATGTTGATATTTGTGGTCCTGAAACTAGTTCCTGGATACGAAGGAACTACTTTAACAGGAAAAATTTAAGACACAAGGGGGCCATCTTGTGGTGAGTATAATACTTTAGGAAAAAAAATGAGGTTCTAAGGAGCAAAACATGTTGAAGGAAAAAAATCCATTTTCTGATACATATTAAGGAACCTAGAGAGATGTTTACAGATTACTAAAAAGTTTATGAATTTTACTTAGTTTCATTTTTATCTTTATTTTCCAGTATGTGTATCACCCAGTTGTGTCCTCCATGACAGATACACTTTTGTTTCACTTGGTGGCTAGGTAGACTGATAATCTTGGAATTCTTTGGTTTCTGTCTCTAGTCAAGATTTATTGGGAAACTTTGTATTTGATACTTATTCTTTTTATCCGGGTTGATTGACCATTTGCTGTTTTTCATTTTAGAGGATATAAACTGTTGAATAAAAACTGATTATTTTCTGGACCTGACTGGCTTATAATTTCAGAAGAAACAATGGAAAGTCAAGAATTTATTGTAAGTCTTAATAATTTTCCTTTTCATGGGGAGAGGGGTAGGGGACAAACTCTTGATGAAATTCAGTGTTACCTAGAATTTCTGATCCTTTTGCTTTTTTCTCCCAAGTGCTGAGATTATAGGTGTGCATGCCCACATTCTGTGTCTGTGGTGCTGGGACTCAAAACCAGTCTCCTGCGTACCTGGCAAACATGCTACTAATTGAGCTACTTCCTAAGCTCCTAAATCTGACTAATGTTTTCCTTCCTCCTCCCTTCCTTCCCTCTGCTTTTATTTCTTCCTTTCTCTCTCAAATGTCTTGTTAGCATTGCCAGATTCAGCAAAACCAAAAGAAACAGGATATTAAGTTAAATTTGAGTCTTAGATAAACAGTGAATAGTTTTCTAGTATAATTGAGTCCCAAATATTGTACTATATTTTATCTGGCAAGCCTATGTTGTCTTCTTCTCCTCCTCCTCCTCTTCCTCCTCCTCCTCCTCATTTGTATATACTATAAGAGTCATTTGTAAAAACTTCTTTGGAAGCTTTGGACTAGGAAACAACATTTTTCACTTTAAGACCTGCCAATGGTGACATCCCTATCTATAGTGACACACTTGATCTTAAGACCTTTTTGTATTCTAAAACAATATTGAAGACATTAAATAACTTTTGCATGTAGAGCTTCTATCTGTAATATTATTTATGTTAGACATAAAAACAGTGTAAAAATACTCACTAAAAAGTGGCTAATATATTACATTTTAATGTAAATTACACTTTTAATGGTAAGAAATTAATTTTTTTTTTTGGTTTTTCGAGACAGGGTTTCTCTGTGTAGCTTTGCGCCTTTCCTGGAACTCACTTGGTAGCCCAGGCTGGCTTCGAACTCACAGAGATCCGCCTGGCTCTGCCTCCCGAGTGCTGGGATTAAAGGCGTGCGCCACCACCGCCCGGCTAAGAAACTAATTTTGACAGGGTCTCTTATTGGCTTGGAGCTAGCCAGTTAGGTTCGATGGGCTGGGATCCTAGGTGTCCTCCTGTGTTTGCCTAGAATGCATCACCATGTCCAGCATTTTATGTAGACTCTGGGGCTCAAAGTCAGGTCCTCATGCCTTTGAGGCAAACGCTTTTTAGCTGAGCTGTGTCTCCAAACCCCTGCATCGCTAGGCATCTTTTCCCTCTAAATTTCTTTAACATTTGATTTAGTAATAGTCAGCTGGATTTTCACACTGTTTCTGTATTCAGTCTGTAATTGAATCTGGTACCACATATAATGCTTAGAAACTCGACTCTTCCACTAATGGAGGGGGAGTCTAAAGACAAAAGCAATGTGAAATTGTTCTGACCTCAGATGCTGTGAAGGTTGGGCAGACTGTCCAGTCTTTGGACTGTACTCAGAGAGCTATGTGAATAAGAAGTAATGTGTAACCCAGTAACTGTTTTTCCTTCCCGCTGATGATGTGGCAGTTCACAATTATTTTTAATGCTCAATAACTAAAAGACTCTTTAGGCTTTTCCTTGCCCTTTCTTCCTTTGCCTTTTGGTACTACCCAGCTAATCAACTGTCTTCCTCTCCTTAAAATAGTTTGTTTCCTTTTTTTTTTTGGTTTTTCGAGACAGGGTTTCCCTGTGTAGCTTTGCGCCTTTCCTGGCCTCAAACTCACAGAGATCCGCCTGGCTCTGCCTCCCAAGTGCTGGGATTAAAGGCGTGCGCCACCACCGCCCGGCTGTTTCCTTTTTTTATGCTTCGGGTTAAAGTCAGGGCCTCCTGATGCTGAGCCTGCCCTCTGTCTGTCATTGAGCTACACCTCCAGACTCTTTCACTGATACTGTTATTGTGGTGATACCTGTGTAATTATTTTGATATGGGATATTTTATTTTGTATGGCCTATAAACTATATAATATTAAATGTGTAAATAGCAATGATTTCTTCTGTTTTTTTGGAAATAAGGTCTTATATACTCACCAAAAGATGAAGAAGTCAAAAGTGTGGCAAGATGGAGTTCTGAAGATCACTCCCTTAGGCAACAAGGTGAGTGCCGAGCAGTTGACGCAGTGTGGAACAGCTGTGTTCTTGCCTTGTCACTGAGCATTAGGATAGCTGTCCATACATTGCCATGATGTGAAAAAGAAAATTTCAGATCATTTTTATATGTTTTTTGTACATTATGAAAGTTCAGTAAGTAAACATTATTCAATCAAAAACTTACTATGAGCTGGTCATAATGCCTTCAGTCTATCAGTTTGGTTTGCACAACTCACCTGAAAGTAAGGCATTTTGTCTTTATTTTACTGATGATAAAATTGAGGGCTCAGGTACATCTTACCAGGAGTCCCAGCTGAAAGTGCAAGAGTCATTCATTCATGAGCTTAGATATGGCTCCAGGGCCCATTTTCTAGTAAGTCTTTTTTTTTTTTTTTTTTTTTTTTTTGGTTTTTCGAGACAGGGTTTCTCTGTGTAGCTTTGCGCCTTTTCCTGGAACTCACTTGGTAGCCCAGGCTGGCCTGGAACTCACAGAGATCCGCCTGGCTCTGCCTCCCGAGTGCTGGGATTAAAGGCGTGCGCCACCACCGCCTGGCTTATATTAACTTATTACAGAAACTTGGTTGTGAGTTTGTGATATTGTGTGCATACTAATGACAGCCATGAGCTCCTGATCAAACACATGCTCTTACATGAAGCTATTAAGGCCCTTCACATTCTGGCTTTATTCTACTTCTCTGCCATTGTAAATCGGGGGTTCTCAATCTTCCTAATGCTGTGATCCTTTAATACAGGTCTTCATGTTGTGGTGACCCACAACCATAAAATTAGTTTTGTTGCTACTTCCTAACTGTAATTTTGCTATTGTTATTAATTGTAATGTAAATCTTTTTGGAGATAGAGGTTTGCCAGAGGGGTCAGAACCCTCAGGTTGAGAACCACTCTTGTAAAGCTATTACCGAAGGAAGCTTTTTAGTAGGGAAGAGGATATTTACTGTATTGTTTTTTTTTTTTTTTTTTTTTTGCTGAGACAGGGTTTCTCTGGGTAACAGTCCTAGCTGTCCTGGAACTTGCTTTTTGGACCAGGCTGGCCTTGAACTAACAGATCTGCCTGCCAAGTGCTGGGAGTAAAGGCATGTGCCACCACCGCCTGGCTATTCATTGTATTTTTAAAAAATATTTAATTAATTTGTGAAAATAAAAACTAGCTTTGTGGGCTGGAGAGATGGCTCTGTGGTTAAGAGCACTGACTGCTCTTCCAGAGGATCCAGGTTTTAATTCCTAGCACCCACAAGTCAGCTCACAACTATCTGTAACTCCTGTTCCAGGGGATCTGACACCCTTACACAGACATACTTGCAAGCAAAACACCAATGTACACAAAATACAAATAATTTATTTAAAAAACACTAGCTTTGCCTTAAGCCTGCAAGTTCATTTTATATATATATATATAATTTTTTTTTTTTTTTAAGACAGGGTCTTATGATGTAAAACAGGCTGGTCTTGAACTCACAGAGATCCACCTGCCTCTGCCTCCCAAGTGCTGGATTACAGGCATGCACCACCACACCTGGCTTTATTTATTTATTTATTTATTTATTTATTTACTTACTTACTTACTTATTTTGTAAATTTCTAAAGACATTGGAGTTGGAGTTACAGGCACTTAGAGTCACGTGACATGGGTGCTGAGAATGGAACTCATATCTTCTGGAAGCAGGTATTCTTAACCACTGATCCATCTTTCCAGTCCATGATCTCATTTCTGATTGGCCCCATTCAATACATTCCAGTTCTGTTTTCTTCCCAATTCCATTCAAGGATCCTTCTGGTAGGTTCTATTCAAGGATCCTTCTGGTAGGAATTACATTTTTTTATTTCTCTTTCTCTATTTCCTTAAGGGTTTTGGGTGTGTGTGTATGTGTGCGTGAACGTGTAGAGGCTAGAAATCCACAGTGGATGTCTCCTATCCACCTTATATATTTTTTTGAGATGGTCTTTCACTGAACTCAGAGCTCACTAATTGCTGGATTAGCCTCCTGTCTCTACATCTGCCTCTCCTAGGGATACAGGCTCACACCACCACACCAGTCTTTTACATACTAGGAACTGATTTCTGGTCCTTTTGCTTGTCAACATGTGCTTTACTGAGCTGCCCCCAGTGCCTGAGTCCTTGAATTTCTTCCTCCGTACTCAGCTCTCATGCTCAGGGGATGCAGTAACATTGGAAATAGATGTACTTTCAAATTCAAGTTATAGAATGATGTAATTCTTTTACTTACTTATATGACAAATTTTGATTTGCTATTGAAGATTCTAAGAAATGCAAAAGAAAAATTTGTAACTTTTATCTTGTTTTGTAACAGGCCATTTTATATGACGACAAAGGAGCATGTTTGGAAAGTCTATTTCTGAAGTGCCTTGAGGTATTTTAATGTGTTTACATTACTTCCCTTGAAATTTAAACATTTACTTACATCTTCTTTATGAATGTTGTTAATGGTTTAGTCATAGTGCTGATGCTGTCTTATTGTTCTTACTAGAGTTGTACCTTCTTCTAACAGCCTTTAGTTTTTATGACAATGGTACGAGGTTTGTACATTAGCAATGCAGCACAGAAAGGCTTAGTAGCATGTTGATGATCAAAGAATGGTGGTTGCAGGACATAGTCAAACCTAGGATGTGACTCTAGAATCAGCTTCTGTTAGGTGAGGGTTTGTTGTGTTGGGATGGGACCAAAGGCTTCATGAACATGAGGTATGTAGTCCACCGCTGAGCTCCGTCTTTAACTTTGACATGGTGGTTGATAGTCTTCGAAATTATTCCCATTTAAGTACTTTCTCAAAAAAATAAATATATTTTCTGTGTTTTTCTTGTATTTGAGGAAGGGAAGGAATTGAAGGCATTAGAACTGCTTTGTGCACCTTCCAGACTCTGAAACACCTCCTGTGTAGCCCGTGACCTGTGTCTACTCCTCAACTAGAAACATAGATCAGCATTGTTCAGAAGATTAGAAATTACCTAATATAATTTCATGTGTTAAAATTCATTAACATCACTATGTGGGTATTTGGCCATGAAATATTGTGTCATTAATAGTGGTTGTTCTTCTAGATTTATGAATGAGTGTCTAGGAGAGACATTTTCTTAGTAGGTGCTTAATTAATGTAGCTACTGTTATTTTATCCTAAGTAGTTTCATTACTAAACATTTTATATGATAAATATATATTTTCTAAATTGATAATCTTAGTGTTTGACTCTAGAGTTGGTGATAAATTGATGACTTAAAAAATACTCTTTTTCAGGGCATGTGATTATGTATGTAATTAAAGTTAATATTTGGGATAATTATGAAGTTCTAATTCACATACATTTATAAGGATACAGAATTGGTAACTAATGGCTTTGAGTTTTTAAAATATTGCATTTAGCCGGGCGGTGGTGGCTCACGCCTTTAATCCCAGCACTCGGGAGGCAGAGGCAGGCGGATCTCTGTGAGTTCGAGGCCAGCCCGGTCTCCAAAGCGAGTTCCAGGAAAGGCGCAAAACTACACAGAGAAACCCTGTCTCGAAAAACCAAAAAAAAAAAATATTGCATTTAGTTGTATGGATTCTAAGTGAATTATGTGAAAGGAAGCTTTCTGCTTGACTTTGTGTTCTTAGCATGTGATAAAGGGTCTCACCAGCACCACAGTATATGCTGCTGAAGAACAATATGCTGCTGAAGAGCAAATTAGTGATGTTTTATTGCATTATTATCATTTTTTTGTGTTTTTGATGGTTAACTTGTGCATAATAATGAATAGTGGAAGGATTTAGTTACTGATTGATTTCTTTAGCAACTTTGTTGAATATTTGTTGGATCTTGTTCATTGCTAGTGAGCCTGCTGGTATATATGGAAAATAAAATTACCCAAATGCAATTTTGATGTTTATTCTTTAAAATTAGGTGAAACCTGGCGATGACTTGGAAAGTGAGCGATACTTAATCACAGTTGAGGAGGCTAAGGCTGCTGGAAGCCGAGCTGTTAAAACAGATGGTACTAGAGAAGCCCTGGAGTCAGGTCCAAGGTCGTTTATATCCTCGAGCCGGTCTCTTGGGTGTCAGCCCTCTGGCTTAAAAAGGAAGGCTACTGTAAGTTTCTGTGTGGAAACTAATACTTAAATGTATAGTTATAAAGTTATTTTGGAAACTAGTAAATTTTTATGGTGGGTTACTGTTAAAATGGTACGTTTTAGTTTATTTAGGTAACAAAGTAAATGCAAGTTAGAAAAGTCTTAATAATAGTTTATATTTTAATTTAGCAAGATTTAAATGTTCTTTACCTTGGGCAAGACATACATATTCTTTGTTATTCCTTTTAGCAAATTTATTTCACATTTTCCTTAGAAATAATGGTATAGCTAATGATTGTTTTGATGTGTTTAGGGCTTTCAAAGACCATATAAGGTACCAAAGAGAGTGACTGTTACAGAAAATGGTGAATCAGCTGCCTCGTTTGGTGATTCGGAACCTGGCCCGACATTTCCTTCCCTGTTCTCCAGCACACCTCCTTTGTTTTCTGCTGTTGGTCAGAAAGACATAAGTCATATACCAGCAGACCCTGAGAATTCTGTCACCTTCAGGAGCAGAGAGAGAGGTGACAGGCCTTTTCCACTTGTCCCTTCAGCCTTCACTGTTAACTCAGACACACTAAGTAAAGAGGACAAGTCTTGCTCTCCCGTCACCTCTGAAACCCAGCATTCAGACTCTTTGCTGGCCAGTGAGCCTGTGAGAAGAAATGGTTTGGAATCTCACTGTCCTGGAGTTTCACGAAACCTCAGAAGCAAAGCACAAATATTAGCTCTTCTGAAGTCCAAATCTACCAATGTGAGTAAGGATCTGACCTGTGAGATTACAGGGCGATTTCCTAAAACACAACCACAGGGGTGTTCGAAGATCGCTTCTAAGCCAAAGGAAGAGTCTGCTGAGAGGAAGAACTCAGGGGGTTTACGCTGTGAGCTACAGGCAGAAAATCCCCCAGGAACTACAAGCCGGTGGACCATGTATTTACCGTCCCAGAGGTCGCCTCCCTGTTCTGCTACAGATGAGAACGATACAGAGGACAAACCTGAAGCCCAAGAAAATGTGAACATTTTGAATTCTGAACTTTTGGTAGAAAAAAAGGCAGAGCTCTTTGAAACATGTGCTGAAAAGGGAGAATTGTACGGAGAAGACGAGCCAGTAGACAGTAATTGCCAGTACTGGGAGCATGAAGAAAACTTAGGTGTGCCTTCATTCTGTGAAAACAACAACTTACTGGTTAGCTGTAGCAGTAAAGAAAGTGTGGATTTCTTATTAAAACCTGACATTCAGAACAATAGCCAAGTACTTTCCAGTCAGAATGACAGTGTGTGTATGAAGGGGTTGCTTTGCACTAGAGAAAGTATTCAGGTGGCAGACGCAGATGCAGCACTGGAACAAGAGTATCTGTCCTGTTCATCAGAAATAGACCATAAGCAAGCTGAAGTTGAAGCTTCTCTAAGTAACCACTCTAGGACCTCTGATGACATTGCAGACATGGGTTCTAAAAGTAGAGCTGATAGAGAAAGTCTGGATACTATTCATCCACCTTCACAACCATTTTTGGAAGTTTCTTTTAATTTGAGCAATTTTGAGACCAGTGACACTGATGAGGCATCACAAGAAGACAACAAACTTTCCCCGGATTCAGAGAGAAGGGAAAAGGAAGTTTTGCTTACAGATGATTCATGTGGGGACATAGGCTGCCAAGAAATTGCACAGACACCCTTGCCACTCCTACCCTCTGCCAGTGGCAGGCCTAAAGAGATCCTTCCTGCTAAGGAGACCCCGTTGTCAGAGTTTTGTGATAGAACCTGTGTGGGTTTTTACTCAGGACCTCATGAAGATGCAGACACCGGAAAAGCAGCACGGGAGCAGTGCGGTGATGCAGGGAGCAGTCTGGACTCATTGCAGGAGTGGAATGAGGAGGTACCCAGAGATAGCGGAGAAGATGCTGAGAAACCTATCCAAAGAGATGGAGATAATGATGGTATTGTTTCGTCCTCAGATAAACCCAAAGGTATAAGTACAGGTCTATATAGTCCTTATTTTTTAAACACAGTCACTAATCCGGCTCCTGAAAAGAGTGACCTGTTCTCAGAAGGTACTCAGCCTCAGCCTTTTATTTTGGGAAGTCACATAGATGAAAATGATGAGCAGATTTTATCATCAGTCTCTAGCAGTGGCATTAGTATCCAGCTATTGAATACCACTCAGGATCACTCTGAATATCGTGGACTAGATGAATCCAACACCCAGGTTTCTAGTTCTTTATTTTACCCTGTGGGAACAAAACACCCTATTTACAAAGACACTGAAGCATACATTCCTGAATCCGACGATTTAGGAAAGATTAGAAGTTTGCCATGTGATCATTTTGAAATGGAAACTACACAGAGAAGCAAACAATCCTGGGCTACTTCTAGAAATTCTTCAGATCTTTCTGAAATAATAAATAACATGTCCCTTTTAAAGTCACTGTCTGAGCATAGCACAGCTGTAGGAAGCTTGGCACCGAAGTTTAGAAAGCACGCCCTTCAACAAGAAGCTCAGCACATCCGAGACCCGGATGTCAGTCCTGAAGGTTAGAGTCACCTCTCTTACTTTGGTTGTTCCCTTTGTAGCTCAAAAGAAAGGAAGATACTAGCTGTCTGCTGTATTAGAGATTTACATGCGTGGTGGCTGAACGTGGTGGCTTATTCCTGTAATCTCAGCACTTGGAAAATATAGGCAGTATCAAGAGAATCCAAAGTTACCTTCAACTATAGAGTGAGTTTGAGGCCAATCTAGGCTATGTAAGACCGTCCCTCAACACAGTGTAACCCACATGTTTGGTAATGACAACTCTAGTATAGAGGATAATATAGTGATGACTAAGTCTCCTTCTACCACAGTTCCTTAGTCCACTTAACATTAACCAGTCTCTAGGGCATCCTTCATGAGATGCCCCATGTGTATGCAGAACACACATTGACAGGAATAAGCAAGGATATGTTCAGCTTAAGCATACCAATCCAAAACCGTGGTGCTTTCCCTTTACATATTTATACATGTTTATAAGCCTGTGGTACAAGAGTGTCCTCTACTCCATTCTGTAATGTTTATTTACTCCCACAGTGTGAAAGGGCCCTGATTCAGTATAGTTTACTCCCTAAATTCTACAGTGCATACCCGATAGTTGCCAAATTGTCAGAACAGTGTTACTGCCAGCAAAACACTATCAATTTTGTAAAGTTCTTTGTGAGTCACTTGTGAGTAAATGAAGTTGAGCATCTCAGATTTCATAATCATCCTGCCATTTTCATGAACTCTCCCTACCTTTATCTGTTTATTTTAAATGGGTATTAATCTTATTCTTGATTTATAAACAGTTTTTTAATGTATTGGCAATGTTAATCCTTTATGATATCTGTTGAATGTGTGTGTGTTTGTTTTTTTTTTTTTTTTTTTTTGTTTGCTTGTTGGTATTTATAGACAGGGTTTCTTTGTGTAGCTCTGGCTGTCCAAGAACTTGCTCTGTAGGCCAGGCTGGCTTCAGACTCAGAAATCCACCTGCCTCTGCCTCCTGAGTGCTGGGATTAAAGGCATGCGCCACTGCCCAGCTTATGGGTATGTGTTTAAAGATTTATTTATTTTACGTGTAAGTACTCTATCTGTGTGTATGACTTTATATCCAAGAAGGGCATCAGATCCCACTATAGATGGTTTATAGATGGTTGTGAGCCACCACGTGGTTGCTGGGAATTGAACTCAGGACTTTTGGAAGAACAGCCAGTGTTGTTAACCACTGAGCCATTTCTCCAGCCTCAATGTGTGTATGTTTTAAGACAGCATCTTGTTGCATAGCTCCAACTGATCTATAATATATGAAGGTAAATGATGCCCAATGTTAAAATTAAATCTTTTTTTTTTTCCAGACAGGGTTTGTCTGTGTAGCACTGGCTGTCCTGTAACTCACTCTGTAGACCAGACTGGCCTCGAACTCAGAGATCTGCCTGCCTCTGCCTCTCAAGTGCTGGGATTGGTATTTTCTCTGCAGCAGACATCACAGCTGTATCACACTTAAGAACGCTAGCTAGCACTAACTCTAGGGGACTTTAAAATAGTGAAATCGGCCGGGCGGTGGTGGCGCACACCTTTAATCCCAGCACTCAGGAGGCAGAGGCAGGTGGATCTTTGTGAGATCGAGGCCAGCCTGGTCTACAGAGTGAGATCCAGGAAAGGTGCAAAGCTACACAGAGAAACCCTGTCTCGAAAAAACAAAAAAAAAGTGAAATCATCAATGAAAACAAAGATATGCTAACTATACTGAAAACATACTTATGTGTAGAGTATAAAATAAGGCAGAGTGTTGTCTTGTTGGGGATGTGCTCATTCTATGCTGCTGGCCTGTCACTTTGTCAGCCTTCCCCTCTGCTTGCTTTTTCACACCTGCCTCTGTAGTAATGCTTAGCTTTGCTTTAGCTCTCAGTTAAGTGTACTTGCCAGGAGGGACCTTTGCAGAACATTCTGTTATATTACATCACCTTCTGTAGGACAGCCTTTCCTATGGTACTCTGAATTTGTCTGGTCTAATTGTGTGGCTGTCTTCTTTGTTCCCTTTTCACTGCTGTGCTCCAGTGCTGGCTGGGCGGTTTAGTACCTGCCCTAATTCCAACACTGGGCAGCAGATCTCTGCTCTACATAGTGAGCTGCAGGCCAGCACAGAAAACACAGTTCCCAAGCCATAGTCAGATGGATGGGAGATAGGTTTGGATAGACTGGTGCTTCCCCTGACCCATTGGGGTTGTGCATAGCAATACTGTAGAAGTTTTCTTACCTTTCTTGTTCTCAACAATTGGGCAGTACTTCATTTTTAGCATTTGTAATATAGGTGAAAAATATATTCTATTGACTTAGAATATATTAGTTTTTTAAGTTAGGTGCCAAAAATTGCAAGAACATATCCCCACCAAGACATAGTGACCAGTAAGAGATCTGGAGAGATGACTCAGCAGTTACAAAGAATTTGCTGCTTTTGTAGAGGATCCAGATCTGGTTCCCAACATCTTCTCTGGCCTTGGTAGGCACCCAACATGCACGTGGTGCACATATATTCATGTAGACAAATACTCCTGTAAAATAAATTTATTTATTTATTTGAGGCAGGGTGTCTCTATGTATCCCTGGCTGTCCTGGAACTCACTGTAAACAAGGCTGGCCTTGAACCTACAATCCGTCTATCTCTGCTTCCTGAGTGTTGTGATTAAAGGCATATGCCCACACCTGGTCTTAATTTTCTTTTTTTCAAAGAAAGAAACCAGTACTGTTTTTATTTTAAATATATTGAATTTTTGCCTTAATGTACCAGCCTATACAGAATAATACAATGAATCTTTACTCATGTTCCAGATTAAACCCAGTATTAAGACATTCCTTTTGAAAATGTATTACTTCAGTTTTAGAAATAAATGTATTTTTGGAACCATTTGGTGCATATGATAACTAAGGCTGTTTAATTTTTCCATCCTAGCCAGGAAATCACATGCCACAGTAGTTTCACATACTCTGCTAGAGCGTCCTCTTGAGCAGTGGCCTTCTCAGCAGGTACATATATCTCTCTTTCTTTAAACTACTGTATGTTTCTTGTATAGAAAATAATAATATTTTCATAAGTGTATAGCATATACTTTGATCATACTTTCTCTCTACTGCCTCCTCTTATGGCCCCATCCTATTATTTATGCATCTCTTGCCATATAGTTGATAAGAATTGTCTTTTTTAGGGTTGCTATTGCTATGATGAAACACTATGACCAAAAGCAAGTTGGGGAGGAAAGGGTTTATTTGATTTATACCTCCACATCATAGTTCATCGAAGGAAGTTGGGGTAGGAACTGAAACAGGGCAGGTACCTGTAGGCAGGAGCTGATGCAGAGACCATGGAGGGGTGCTGCTTACTGACTTGCTCTCCGTGGCATGCTCATGCTTTCTTATAGAACTCAAGACCATCAAGCCCAAGGGTGACACCACCCGCAATAGGCTGGACTTTTCCTCATCAGTTACTAGTTAAGAAAATGCCCTACAGGCTTTTCTATAGTTCAATATTATTGAGGCTCCCTCCTCTTTGATGACTAGCTTGTATCAAGTTGACAAGACTAGCCAGCATAACTGATCCCTGGTCAACTTGACACATGAATGCATTACTGTTAAGCTATAATTTTTCTTTCTTGTTTATCTGCAAGATCATACGTTAATATAAACACCACAATATGAAACATTTTTAAAAACTTAAAAAGTCTCATTGTCTTTACAAAGTCAAACACTTTATAATCAATCTTTAAAAAATTCAGTCTTTTTTAAAATCCAAAATCCCCTTAAAAGTTCAAAGTTTTCAAACTGTGAGCTCCTGTGAAATCAATAAAAAGCTAAATACCTTTATAATCAATCTTTTTTAAAAAATTCAGTCTTTTTTAAAATCCAGAGTCCCCTTAAAAGTTCAAAGTTTTTAAACTGTGAGCTCCTGTGAAATCAATAAAACGTTAAATACTTCCTTACTTCAAGAGGGAAGAACCAGAGCACAGTCACAACCAAAGCAAAGTAAAACAAAACAACAGTATGAATAATTCAGCGTCCAATATCTGGGACTCACTCATGATTTGGGCTCCTCCAAGGGACCTGGATCACTTCTGGGTCTTCACCCTCTGCAGCACATACAGCTTGTCCTCTAGGCTCAGGTCGGTTTCCCTTTACACTTGCTTCTGTTCCTGGAGGCCATTCCATGGTACTGGCATCTCCAAAGTGCTCCAGTCTTATAGCAGCTGGGCTGCACTTTCATCAGCAGTCTCTCCCTTCTCTGCATGACACCTTTAATCCTGGCCCTTCAACTGCTACTGAGGGTGCACCTGCACCAGTGGCCTCTCCTGGTCTCACAGGGCCAAGCCTCAGCTGCTTCATGCCTTCACCACCAGTACCACTTGGGTGACTCTTATACCACCAAGTTCAGCTGCCAACACAAGTTACAACTTTGGCCACCTCTGGAACACAGCTGTGTGCTGACCCTGAGCAACCGCTCTCCAGAAGATTTCATCTCAAGGATGTTGGTTTCTTCTCCAGCTCCAGCTGACCAGACTACACAGATTCTTCACACAAGTGGCCCGGTAGAGTCTTTGCTTCCCTCTGAAACTTCAGAAGCAAAGCCTCCATTGCCTGCCCTGCTCTCAGCGTTTACTTTCCATTCTCCTGTGGAGCAGCCTACTGAGGTTCGAACACTCAATGGCTTTTCCAGCCCAAAGTTCCAAAGTCCTTCCACCATCTTCCCCAAAACACAGTAGGCTGGGCCCTTCTTTATCAATTACTAATTAAGAAAATGCCCTACAAGCTTCTTTACAGTCCAGTCTTACGGAGGCATTTTCTCAATCGAGGCTCCCTCCTCTCTGATGACTCCAGCAGGTGTCAAGTTGACATAAAACTAGCCAGCACAAGAATATTTTGTAATTTATAATTGTAGCAGTACAGAAGGTTCCAAACTCTTGATTCATGACTTCCCTCACAAGCAGTTTTTAAAACTCCATTTCTTGGCCCAAACCAATGTGTAACAGTCCGTTTGTTAAGCATGGAACAATAAGTATGCATGTCCTAGTATCTTAGCAATTTATTACCAAGTGAGCACAGCTGTGAATGCAGTGTATGCCCATTAGGTACTATACAGCATTTTTCTCAACTGAAGCTCTATGTAAAAAAGCATTTAAGTTTGATTGTCCTTTTACATGAGCTTTGGGATCTTTATTCCTAAGTAACAGTAGAGTCATAGTGTATTTATCCTCTTGTTAATTCATCCATCCATTAGAAATGAATCCTTTAAGGATATTCTTTTGACCTTTTAAGCTATTTTATTTTCCCATATTCTGGGTGGGCTTTGTTAAAAAACCTCGTGTGGAGTAAAATGCTCAAATCCTCAAGGGGGCAGCAGAGAAAGCCATTTGAGCCCTGAAAGCGGACCACATGGTAGGTGTGAAGTCTCAGAGGGCGTTAGTCTGCATTGCAGTCACACTTCTGAGTAGAAGACTCATATAGAGCTGCAGAGATCCCTCAGTCTCCCTCATAATTTAGTCTGACAGTGTGCAGGCCTCTCAGGCAAAGCAAAGTGCTGCTTCATTTCTTCTTTTTTATTTTATTGATTGCTTTCTGTATGCCAGGCACTGTATTAAATGGTGGGGCTTCTTAGGTGAAGCGAAAAAGTCTGTGCACTCAACAGGCTTATAATACATTAGTGTACAATACTATATGTGTACATTATGAATATACATGTCTTATACTTACCAAGTTCTTATTTTTAATAATTTACCTATAGCCTGTTGAGTTTCAAGGACATCAGGTGAAAGGATCGGCTACTAGTGGTGTTATGGTCAGAGGACACAGCATACAGCTAGGATGCAGTCAGTTTCCAGATAGCGTTGACTATGAAAACTTCATGACACAGACTCCTGTTTGGACACCAGAGTTGCCTAGCACTTGTATGCAAACTAACTTCTTGCAGGTAAAAGTAATTTTTAGAGTTACATTTCCCCAAGTTGCTTTCTGTTTGTCAGTACTAAATTTTGTAAATCCTTATAGAAAAGGAGTCCAAGGGTAAGTTGACAAGAACCACAGTAGCTCTAGACAGACTACCCAAGGCACACATGCTTTCTGATTGGTTGGCATGTCTGTAATTTCCCGTTTTCTCCTTTCAGCAGTACCAGGCAGGGTTTGAGGCCTTCTACAGTTAGTGGGGTAAATCAGCTCACATAGTCTTTCCTCTAGTGAGTACTTTGGTTTGCCCTTCTCTGTGTTGCCACGTCTGTACTGTTCCTTACTCTTCATAATATTATAATTTGTGGTCACCATTGCTTGAATTATTGAAAAAGAAACTTACTGTGTGTAATGGCTCTGGACTGTAAATTCCAGCCTTTGAGAGGCTGAAGCAGAAAAATTTCTGTTTGAGGCCAGCCTGGGCTGTATAGTGAGTTCTAGGCAGTCAGGAAAAACGAACAAAAGAGGAAGAAATTTGTGTACTTGTGTCCGTTGCCATATTTCTTTCTTTTTTTTAATTATATATATATATATGTATATAGTGTTCTGCCTGTATGTTTGCCTGCCTGCCAGAAGAGGGCACCAGATCTCATTACAGATGGTTGTGAGCCACCATGTGGTTGCTGGGAATTGAACTCAGGACCTCTGGAAGAGCAGCCAGTGCTCTTAACGACTAAGCCATCTCTCCAGCCCCATTGCCATTTTTCTCATTATTGAGATATGTTAGTTATGGTCATAGGGTGTGGATTCTGAGTTTGTCACAAAATGACTAGCCCTTCCAAGACAGTGTCTCTTAATAAATGTGATGGATTGCTAACATACGGTGTTCTCCGAACTTTAAGATATATTCTCTATTTCATCTCTTCAGCCTGTTTTTTTCATTTTTGAGACAGTGCATCACTCAGTAGGCAGGTTGGTCTGAAACTTACATACAGCCCAAGCTGGCCTCAAGCATTTAATGATTCTCCTACCTCATCCTCTAGACTGCTGGGATTACAGGCATGAGCTAACATGTACACTTCTAATTCCTAACTCTGTAATTTAAAATATTTTATATGTGGGCTATTATTCAAGTAGGGTAATTTTTCATTGTAGTTTTGATTTGCATTCCCTGTTGACAAGTGATGGTGAACATCATTTCATATATCTGATAGCCATTTGTGTATCCAATATACAACATTTGTATAATGTTTGAAGAAATCTCTGTTTAGAGTTTAAGGCTAGTCTGGCTAAATAAGAAGTTTTAGGAGCTTTAATAAGGAGTTTTAAGAGAGATGGCTCCAAGGTTAAGAGCACTAGCTGTTCTTCCAGAGGTCTCATGTTCAGTTCCCAGCAACCACATGATGGCTTACACCCATCTACAATAACATCTGGCGTAGAAGCATACATACCAGAATACTGTATACATAATAAATAAATAAATCTTTTAAAAAAAAAGTTTTAGGCCTGGTGGGGCTACCTGGGAGACATTGTCTCAAACAAGGAAAAAAGAAAGATAAAAATTGAGCTATGTGTGGCCATATCCCTGGGGTATATAATGATATTCTTGAAAGAAAGAGAGAGGTAGGGGGAGAAGGGATGGAGGCAGGTAAGTAAGCCTGCCCCATCATTTACCTTTTGTGTCGCTTCGGTTGTGGTGTTGAATCTGAGCCTTGGCTGTGTGATTGTTGATTGCTAGGCAAGCTCTCTACCACCCAGTTATCCCCCAGCACCACTTGCCACTTTCAAATCCGATTGTTCGGGTGCTGAGTTGATCTTCTAGTCTCTTGTCAGATGAATACTCTGCTCGTATTTCTCCCATCCTGTATGTGGTCACTGTTGATCTCTTCTTTTTCTATGCAGAAAATTTTTAGTTTCTTAGAACCCCTTTAACTAATTTTTCCTTTTATTGCCGCTTGGAGATTGATTGTCATCTCCAGAATGGAGTCCATTATTACTGAGCCCTCCAATAAAAGGAATATAGAAATATGTCCCATTTCATTAGCTACTTGGAGATCATCGGTGACCTTGGCAAGAGCAGGTGCAGTGAAATAGTGTTTGTAGAGGCCAATTCAGAGAGAATTAAAGAATGAATGAGAGGTAGGAAAGTAGAATTATGGCTAACTCCTAAAAATGTATGCGTTCATCAACCATTTAACCCCTCCACCGCCACCTCCACACAGGGCTGGGAAGTAAATCAGGACTTCATACTTGCTGAGCATGTGCTCTGCCATTGAGTTGTAGCCCCAGGCAGCAAACATATTCTCACGAGCAGCTACCTCCTGTCTATTGTACTGTCAAAATAGACCTGTGAATAAAAGGCAAATTCTTGTCCTCATAATGAAGTGAGACTAATAAACAGATAAATAAATAATGCCTGGAAGGGCTTAAGTGCTCCGAGTAAGCATATAGCTATATAAGGGGTGGCAGTACAGGTGTGTAGATGTAATTCTAAACAGTCTTACTAAATAAGAGACCCAAGAGGTCAGGGCACTAGCGAATAGCCTTTAGCTTACCAACTGCTGCCGTCCTTCCCCTGAGAAAGAGACCTACTTCCTGTGTGTCTGTATTTTTATTGACTTTCTGTTCTGCCTTCTCATTGGTTCTGAACTCAACCACATGACTTCTTCATCACTGCCTGTCTATACAGACCTCCAGGTCTCAATGGTTGGTACTTGGATTAAAGGCATGTGTCACCAAGCTGGCTGTGTCCTTGAACATACAGACTCTGCCTGCCATGTGATCGGATTAAGGGCATGTGCTACCACTGCCAGACTGCTGCTAAATGACTTGCTATTAGCTCTGACCCCCAGGCAACTTTATTTATTAACATACAAACAAAATCACATTTCAGCACAAATAAAGTATCACCATACAGGTGGGCTGGGGTTCTGTTCCATGTAGGTAAAGGCAGCCTTCTCTGATAAGGTGACACTGGAGAGAGATGAGAATGCCATGCCAGTATCTGGGGGGAAAGGGATTTGTGGCAGGAGACATACAGTAAGTAGTGAGGAGTGAGTGAGGGACAAGGAAGGTGACAGAAGTGAGGTCACAGAGCAGGCCATGTAAGATGTCACAGAGCAGTCATGTACATTGAAAGAGACTGGGGGCGATTAGAGGGTTTGGATCAGTGAAGAAAAATGATGGAGCTTAGTTTTGAGAAATAGCTCTGGCCAGTTGTGGAGAATGTACTAGGGGAACAGGGTGGAATCCTTAAGTATTTCTTCTTTTATGTGTGTGGGTGTTTGGCCTGCATGCATGTCTGTGCACTACTTGCATGTCTGGTGCCCAGGGAAGCTAGAAGAGGGTGTTGGATTCCCTGAAACTGATCACTTGTGAGCTGCCATATCAGTGCTAGGAACTGAAGAATACACTGTTTTTAATTGCTAAGCCATTTTTCCAGCCCCTTGTTTTGTTTTTTGATTCAGGGTCCCACAGTGTAGCCCTGGCTGGCCTCACTCACTGTGCAAACCAGACCAACCCAGAACTCACAGAGATCTGCCTGCCTCTGTCTCCAGAATGCGGAGATTAAGCGCATGTGACACTATGCCTGGCAGTTCTTTATTAGTTTGACAAAGCCTAGAGTCACCTGGGAGGAGGGAACCTCCACAGAGGAATTACTCAGATCAGATTGGCCTGTAGTCATGTCTTTGAGGAACTGTCTTGATTGTTGATTGATGTGGGCAAGTGCCATCCCTGAGCAGGTGGTTGTGAGCTGTGTAAGAGCCAGCGAGCCAGGAAGGATTATTTCTGATTCAGTTCTTGCCTGAGTTCTTGGGCCAACTTCCCTCAGTAGTGGACTGTTACCTGAAAGTGTAAGCTGAAGTGTAAACGTTTCCTCTCCTAAGTTGCTTTTTGTCATGGGTTGTCATAGCAACAAAAGGCAAACTAGAGCGATATTGAGGTTCTGATCTTGGGGGAAAGATGCAGTACAACTTAGTGCTGTTCTAATGAGATTAGCAATGAATTATATGGCTGTTCATATCTGAGTATATTTAAAAATTCCCTGCACTTGGAAGGAACATCTTGAAATGTGTATCAGCTATGCTTAACCCTGAGTCCAAAAACATAAGAGAAAACTGCTCAGATCTGGTCGAGTATGCAGGAATATAGTTTTCACAGTCCATACGTGAGATGGGGCTTGCGTTGAGCCCCTTAGAATGGAAATTTATCTTCAGAACTAAGTCTTCATAATGGAATCAGTCCAAATCAGAATGCCACCTACTTCACGATAAATCCTAATCTTTTTTGTACTTAAAATTATTGTTTATGTTAGTAAACTTCTCCTAGCTGGTCCTTTTTGGTGAAAATTTTATAGTTCTTTGCTCCTAATGTGTTTAGAATAGAGGTTACTAGAATTCAAACTAATAGAAAAGGCTGCAGTAAGAACATTTTAGTTAGTGATTTTCTTTTTTCTGGACAGGTCATTTCACCAGAACAAAAGATCTCTGCGTTGAGCCCCGTACCTACTTTTTCTTTCAACACAAGAAATGAAGACTCTGTCCTTGAGTTCTCTGAGGAGTGTCTGAGAGCAAGGACTTTCCCTGGTGATTTTCATTTTCTCCACTGTTATCTGGGAGAGGGTTACTGGGCCACAAGTGTCAGGGAACCCACTGTCTCTTCCCTTAGGCCTTTTCTGTCATGGATACTGTTCCAAATGCATTTTCCTCTCTAGTTCTCACTCCCTCCTCTGCCATCTCTTCATTCCCTCTGAAACTGTCTCTACTGTGGATGGACTTCTTGCTGCTGAAACGCCAACTCTGGTCTCCCCTTTCTATCCTGCTGTGAAGTGGCTCATAGCAAATACCTCCTCAGCACCATGGTTGACCTTGGCATATCCTCTTTGTCTCCTCTTTTTGCTTTGGGATACTGTCAGTATCAGGAACTCCTCAATGGCTGATGCCATCATTGTTCTCAGACCTCAAGTGTTTACGCCAATTTTGACTTTTCTTATAAGTCATTTTCTGCTTCTTGAAAAGTATATTGTTGGGCTAGAGAGATGGCTCAGAGGTTAAGAGCACTGCTTGTTCTTCCAAAGGTCCTGAGTTCAATTCCCAGCAACCACATGGTGGCTCACAACCATCTGTAATGAGATCTGGTGCCCTCTTCTGGCTTACAGGGATATGTGCAAACAGAACACTGTATACATAATAAATAAATAAATCTTTAAAAAAAAAAAAAGAAAGAAATTATATTGTTTAATAGGATCTCTTTTTCCTGATAATTTCATTATTGTATATTTTTCTTAGTCTGAAGTTAGGTTTCATGACAGGCAAAGTTATAGGTGATCGGTGGTTTTTCGGTTATGAGTTGATGATTAGTATGAAAAAGAAAAAAACTTAATGTGAATCAGAAGTTGGGTGTGAGTTGGTTTCATGGTTGTGTCTGGTTGAAGGTAGGGAAAAAAAGGTAGGGTAGGAGATGCGAATGGGGTGGGGATGGGTGTGAGGTAGTATTGTAATATCAGCCCTCAGGAGACAATGCGGGAGAATTACTACGTAAAGGCTAGCTTGGGCTACTTGGGAGCAAAAACAGGATGTGGAAGAGTTTGTATGGGAGGAGTACATCCTCTGAAGCGGGCTTAAGTCTTTAGTTCTGTAGTGGAGTTTTAATTTTCTATCACTATTGCTGTTGAATTTTAATGTAACACTTCATTGAAGAGTATTCGTTGGCTCACTTACTGCTCTACCTCTTCTAAAATGATCATCAAAATTTATTTCCTATAAAATAAACTGTCAAATAAAGTAAGATTCTATAACATTTTTAGATAAAAACTTTAATAATATTTAATTCCTGTGCAGTTTTGCTGATTCATTAATATATCCAATAGATATTTATTGCTTTTTACACTTTCAGCAATGTCTATTCCAATAGCTGCTTCTAGATGGAAGGAATTGTAAAACTCATTCAGGCAAAATCTGATATGAGTTCACCATCCCATCTATGTGATTAATTTAACATATAAAGCTAAAAATCTTTTTTGTTGTGAAAGGTATTATAATTCATAAATACAATAATTTAAAGATAGTTACAATGAGGGCTGGATAGATGACTCAATGGTTAAAAGTACTGACTGTTCTTCCAGAGGACCCGGGTTCAACTCCCAGCAACCACATGGCAGCTAGCAACTGTCTAAAACTCCAATTCCAGGGGATCTAGCACCCTCACACAGACACGCAGGAAAAACACCACTGCACATAAGATAAAAATAAAGGAAAAAAAAGATAGTTACAATCACATCATATTAAGTGAGCTTTGTCTCCAGAAGGTATGTGACTAGCTATCAACTCATTCTGTGTTCTTTCTGACTGTGCCACTTGATATACACTGATCTCTGGACCTCATCTGTAAAGTGAGAGTGATGCAGCTTTTCTCATTTTCGAATGCTTTGAGAACTTAGATGTTCTGTAAATACAATGAGGAATTAAATTAGATATTTAGTTGTGTAGAAGAAAAGAGAAGGACTTGTATTGTCAGTCTTAATAGAGTCTTCAGATCTGTAAATTAAATTTTGAACCTTTAGATTTTGGTCTGAAAGCATTTACTTTGGGAGGGGACAATAAAATTGTATTATTCTTCTGTTTTTACACAGCAAGTCAGACCTTCTGCCCTTGACTATGTCCCCACTGTTTTCTAGAGTCTGGGTAATGACTGGTTACATTTGTATTGATCAGCATTATGTTTTCTTTCAGGACTGAAAAACACTGATTTTCTGGAGAGTAAGGACCGTCAAAGGTTTCCATTTGCAAGTAGAGCCTCGGTTCCCTTCATTACTTTGCCACCTGGTGATGGGCCAGCAGTCTTAGATTCTTGTTCATTTATGACTGATGACGACGCACGAGAGCCTTCTGGTTCTCCTATGTTGGACCTGTGTGAAGAATCGGTCCTTTCATTTGCCCTTGGACCTGAGGACCAGGGTGAGCTTTCTTTCTGTGAAGGGTCTAGAGAAGGGACTCCAGATGTTTCACTGCTTCCTAAGAATTCTGCTCAAAGCAAGTGGCTGAAATATCAGAACATGCTCCAGTGCAACTCAGCTTCTCCAAACAGAATTGACAGCGAAGTGACAGAGGGCCTCTTTGCTGAGGTTGTCTCTGGGATGCAATGTAGCCACACACGTGAGAGGCAGAGTAATGCTGTGAATGAAAGCTCTGTAGACCCTGTGCACTTGCAGATGATAAAAGGCATGCTCTATCAACAGCAGCAGGACTTTAGCAGTCAAGATTCTGTTTCCAGAAAGAAAGCTCTTCCTTTGAACTCAAAGCACACTTCCAAGACTGAGGAAATTCAAGCTATGTTAGGAAGCTCCGCCAGCTACAACTCCAGAGTCAAAGATTTACAGGTGAGGAAAGTGTTTTTCGCCCAGTAGTTACTGTCTGAATTCCAGCAGAAGAATAAGCAAATTGTTTGGGAACAGTTTACTTTTTGATCAGATACCTATTTCCCAGTAATTATGAATATTAAATTATGTGTTTAAAAGTCTTGGGTATACTGTTGGATATATAAAAGGTATTTAATAAATGTTAGCTCTTATTCCTCTTTCTGCCACTCCTTCCAGTACCGATCTCACTGACTGTTTTTATTTTTGACTATCAAATCAGTCTTACTTATAGGATTATTAAGGCACATACATCTATTACAAATTTGCTAAAAGTCATTATTATAGTCATAACAGAAATAGAAATATAAAATGATCTATTTGTAGCAAAACATATTCAAAATCATATTAAGAGGCCATTGAGAAGAGTTAGTCTATTTAAGACTCAAAAGTTCATGTAAATATTCTGGCTTTATTTGTTTTTTTATTTTAAATCATAAAACATGGATTCTAAAGATCAAAAGTACCGTTAGTGTTTTCTTCATTATATATGAAAAAATTTATTGGTAAATGGTGTTTCTCCCCCCCCCACCCCAGGAGATAAATGGTTCAGAGCTATGCTTCCCGAGTGAGCAGAAAATAATATCAGCTTATCTTCCTCAAAGGCAAGTTCACATACCAGCTGTTTTCCAGTCTCCCACTCACTATAAGCAGATCTTTACATCTTCTATCATAGGTATGGCTCTTATATTTTTATTCTGATGATCATCTAGTGTGATATTAGAACTACAAAAAAGAATAATATGTTATAGACCTTCATAGTAAATTCTCCTCTGGAGATTTATTTTGCATATGTTTAACTCTAGAACTTATTAGTAAATTTATTCTAATATCAGATCAAAATTGAGCTTTAAAAGTGGGAAATTGCAATATTTTAAAAATAATGTCTTTTTATCTATTAAAATGGAAACAAATGAGCCCATTACACTTTAATGGAAATGTTTAAGTATGATGCATGCTTAGGTCTGAATGTTTTGAGGCGTAAGACTAAAACTTGCCTTTTGAAAGATGGATTGTTATAAGGTGTGGCAGTGTTAGCCCAGTATGTAGGAGACTTCAGGAGATTGAGAGCTTGATCAGTTTGGACCTTGTAGCACAAATCCTAATTGGTCTTATAATAAAAACCTGGAGCCAAATATCTGGGTAAATGCTGAAAGATTGGAGACAACAAGCCACAGTCACTTCTCATCTTGCCAACTCCTCAGCTGAGAGGGGAAGATCCTGTCTCCACGAATCCTCAGACTGAATGCTGTCTCCACGAGTCCTCAGCTGAAAGGGTACCGAACTCCAGTCTCCTCCTGTCTTATATTCCTTTTTCCGCCCAGCCATATTACTTCCTGTCTCAGTCTTCTTAGTGCTGGGATTAAAGGCATGTGACTCCCAAGTACTGGAATTAAAGGTGTGTGCCACCACTGTCTGGCTGTTTCTCTTTTAGACTGGATTAATCTTGTGTAGTCCAGGGTGGCTTTGAACTTATAGAGATCCAGATGGATCTCTGCTTCCCGATTGCTAGGATTAAAGGTGTGTGCCACCACTGCCTGGCTTCTATGTTTATTCTAGTGGCAGGCTCTGTCCTCTGATCTTCAAGCAAATTTTATTTGTTAGAGTACAAACAAAATATCACCACAGGACCAACATAGTAAGCCTGTCTCAAAAACTAAAGTAAAATAAGGTAAATAATATATGATGTGGTTTCTAAAAGCACAATGTTTATATGTATTGAAATGTTACAGTGAGGGGCTAGAGAGATGGCTTAGCTATTAAATGTGCTTTCAGCTCTGGCAGAGGACCTGTGTTCCATTCCATAAGCCCACAGTGAAATGATTCACAACTGTCAGTAACTCTCCTTCAGGGAGCCAACACTCTCTGGCCTCCTTGGGTACTGTAGTCATGTGCACAAACCCACACACACAGGCATACATATATGAACATAATTAAAAATAATCCTTCAAAAAGAATGTTGCTGTGAAATACATTAATATATATAATTAATATGCAACAATAATAAAAAGTGTAGATGACTGTCAGAGGAAGTATAACAGTCTGATAGATAAGGGCTTAATAGAATAGTATTTTGTCTTGGATGCATTATTGGGTTGGCTGTGAAACTAGGTTTTTTTGTTTTGTTTTTTGTTCCAATGTGACAAAATTGAGACAATAATAAAGTATAAAAGGGATTGTTAGAGAGCTGGCTCAGTGGTTAGAGTACTCAGTGCTTTTACAGAGGACTCAGATTCAGTTACTGACACCCATATGGAAGTACAACCATCTGTAACTCCAGCTTCAGGGGATCTAACTCTTTTTGACCTCTGTGAGCACTGCACACACTTGGTGTGCTTACATACATACAGGCACTCACATAAAAAACAAATCTTTAAAATAACAGATGTTATAGTATTGTGTTACAGTTGAGTGTTAAAAGGCTATTTTCAAACTGGCTAGGAAACAGTGCACTTGATACAAATACAAAATAATTTTGTGTTTAACTTTTAGCTCTTTTTTTTTTTCTTGTAGAGCATCTGAATATATTACTGTTTGGATTGGCACAAAGGTTATACAAAGCCCTTTCCAAAGTTGACATATCCTTTTATACATCATCAAAAGGAGAAACACTGAAAAGTGGAAAAAGTAATTCACCATCCTGCCATCATAATCAACCTGCCAAATTAGTCATGGTTAAAAAAGAAGGCCCAAATAAGGTACTGCTTCTGCTCCCTCCCCACACTTACCTTATGCATAGCTTAGGAACTATGGAAACTCAGACGTGAGTTTTCTTTCTGGCATAAGTGGTATAATAAGCTCTCAATACTTTTCTAATGAAGTGAATGATCTGTGTTCCAGGATATAAAAATAAGAAAGTTAATCGTCAAAAATTTTAGGAATTTATTGCATAATAGTGGATGGAAACTAATACAGGGAAGAAAATTACGTATATAAGGCGAGAAGAATGTGCCTGAGCTGTAGTGTCAGCACTGAGAAAGGGAGCTGCTTGAGGGTTTAGAAAATGCTGAGATGAGACAGGAAGAAATGAAGGTTGAAAACTTCTGTACCAGCACTAGACAAGGCCAAGGGAATAGAAAAGCATGCTGACCTAATGTGTGTTGTGGGTATCACAGAGAAGGGTTAGGAACACATGGATAGCTTTTACTCGTTTGTAAAACTGCTTTCATCTATAATAACAATTAAATCATTTCACTATTTGCATGCATCATTAGTTGAATGTATAAATTTGACCTTAAAAAAATCAAAAGCAGCCAGGCAGTGGTGGCGCACACCTTTAATCCTAGCACTTGGGAGGCAGAGGCAGGTGGATCTCTGTGAGTTTAAGGCCAGCCTGGTCTACGGAGCAAGTTCCAGGATAGCCAGAGCTATACAGAGAAACCCTGTTTCAGAAACAACAACACAAAAGTCAAAAGCAAGAATTCGTAAATAATAGCATAGCTATAGATTGAAATACGTAGCTACTAACAATCCTTGTGTTGTTTTTAAGATTATTTGATTGTATGCTTTGCATGTCCATGCTATGTTGTTTGTTAAAAGGCTTAGGTCACAGAGTATAAAATGCTTCATTTTGTGAATTGTGTCTGTGTGTGTGTGTGTCTGTGTGTGTGCACATGCGTATGTGTAGAAAGAAATGTACGGATATTGCTAGTAATTGTTTCTGGGTAGATTCCAAGTTGTCTAGTGCACACTTAACTGGGGAACAATAAAATTATAATTATTGCTAGTTTTAAAATAAGATTTATTTTTATTTAATGTGTATGTGTGAATGTCTGCATATATATATGTTTACCACATGTATACCTAGAGCCCATGAAGGCCAGAAGAGAGTGCTGGATCTTTTAGGACTGGAATTATAGGTCATGTGGTTGCTGGAAACCAAATCTGGGTCCTCTGTAGGAGCAGCAAGTACTCTTAATGCTGAGCCAATTCTCCAGCCTCTCAAATAAGGTTCTGTTCTCAGAGTAATATACTCTTTTGATAAAGAGAAAGTAAATGGAAAAGTAGGTACTTTATAATTCTAATGTATTGTTTAAGTTAATAAGTGATTTATTTTTTGGAATACATTAATAACAGGCCGCCTTTATAAAATGCTGGACAAGCATAGTGCAGAAAACAGTAGAAAAATAGAAATAAATTTTTTTACTAAATTCTAATATGCATGCTAGCCAAACACTGAACCTTAAATTCTTTATATCTTCTCCATTAGGGTCGTCTCTTTTATACATGTGATAGGCCCAAAGGTAATCAATGTAAATTTTTCAAATGGCTTGAGGAAGCAACTCCGGGACAGTTATCACAGGATGAGTCTCAGCCCAACATGGTTTTTAATGATGTTAAGAGTATTGGCTCATATTTAAGAAGTCAAAAGATACCAGTCTATGAGGAATGCCAGCTTTTGTTGAGGTATGTTTTGGTACCATAACATGTTCTGTAATTATATCAGAGAATAGCAACCCTCACAGAATTGCCCACGGGTACTTGGGTTGATCCTAGAGTCTTGCACATGCTATGCCATCATTCTCCTAAGCTACATTCCAAACCCATCAATGATTTTAAAAGAAATTGAGATGGTGTCTTAGTTAGGGTTTCTATTGCTGAGAAGAGACACCATGGGAATTCCTGTAGAGGAAAACATTTAATTGGGTGGCTTACAGTTTCAGAGGGTTAGTTCATTATCATCATGGTGGAATATGGCAGCATGCAGGCAGATGTGGTGCTGGAGAAAGAGCTGAGAGTGGGAAAGGAACTACATCTTGACCCTGCAGGCAACAGGAAATGGTCTGAGACACCAGGTGTGGCTTGAGCGTATGAGACTTCAAAGCCTGTCTGCACAGTGACGCATTTCCTTCAACAAGGCCATACCTACTCCAACAAAGCCATACTTCCTAGTAGTGCCACTCCCTGAGTTTATGGGGTCGATTACATTCAGACCACCACAGATGGGGAAGTATATATAAAGGAGACAACTTCCAGCTCTATTATTTTAAGTGAAAGTAAGGCTTTAAAGTTATTTTGGTCCTCTCTAAATGATGTCAACAATATCAGGACAACTGACAAAAGGTAGTTTGTTTTGTTTTCTCCTCCCTCCCTCCCTCCTTCCTTTCTCTTCATGGCTATTCACAAACATAAGGGAAACCCTGTTTATAAAACCACTGTAACAATTCTTTAGCAGTACAGGGATAGGTTGTTTCCAAGCCTGAATTATAGAGCTGATAGGATAAAAGTGGGCTTACTAAACAACTAAACATAATGATAGTTTGCATGGAAATTAATAACTTATTGAAAGCTTACAGATGATAGGGTCTTTCCCAAGGACTTTGTGTATATTATTTCCTCATAACAATAATGTATAGGATGATGGTAATTAAGATTATTTATTATTGTGATTTTACAGCTATATAAACTTAGATAGTCTGGCTTTTTCTGTCATTATTATTATTATTATTATTTTGTTTTTTTCAAGACAGGGTTTCTCTGTGTAATAGCTCTGGCTTTCCTGGAACTCTCTTTATAGTTCAGGCTGGCCATGGACTTAGAGAGATCTGCCTGCCTCTGCCTCCTAAGTGCTGGGATTAAAGGAATGCACCACCACTGCCCTGCCTTGATTGTTACTAAAGCTGATGACAGATCTGTGAATTATTCTCTCTCTCTCTCTCTCTCTCTCTTTTTGTTATTTTTAATTTTTGGATTTTTCCTGACAGAGTTTCTCTGTGTAGCTTTGGAGCCTGTCCTGGAACTCAGTGGACCAGGCTGGTCTTGAACTCACAGAGATCCACCTGTCGTTGCCTTCTAAATGCTGGGATTAAAGGCGTGCACCACCACTACCCAGCTGATAGAATATATTTATATTTTACAACATCTATGAAAGTAAATAAACATGTACAACTCTAGTTCTTTGCATTACATGCTGTGTTCAAAATTAAAATAATTCTTCCTTAATCAAATTTATTTTAAAAAGATTTTTAACAATCTTTATGCATATGGTATGTGTCTGAATGTATGTGCACATGTTTGTGTGTACTGTATGTGTGCATGTTTGTGGGTGGGTACTGTATGTATGTTCACGTTTGTGGATGGGTATTCTATGTTTGTAGGTGGGTACTGTATGTTTGTGGGTGGGTACTGCATGTATGTGCTCATGTTTGTGGATGGGTACTCTATGTTTGTGCACATGTTGGTGGGTACTGTATGTATGTGCTCATGTTTGTGGGTGGATAATGTATGTATGTGTGCATGTTTGTGGGTGAGTACTGTATGTATATGTGCATGTTTGTGGGTGAGTACTGTATGTATGTGTTCATGTTTGTGGGTGGGTACTGTATGTATGTGCTCACATTTGTGGGTGAGTACTGTATGTATGTGTTCATGTTTGTGGGTGGGTACTGTATATGTATGTGCTCATATTTGTGGGTGGGTACTGTATGTATGTGTGCATGTTTGTGGATGGGTACTGTATGTATGTGTGCATGTTTGTGGGTGGGTATGTATATGTGCATGTTTGTGGGTGGGTACTGTATGTATGTGCGTATGTTTGTGGGTGCTTGTGGAGGCCAGAGAGGTTATTGGATCTGTTGGAGCTGGAGTTACAAGTGTTTATGAGCTGAAGGTGTGGGTGTGGGAACTGAACTCAGGTCCCTGGAAGAGCAGGAAGTGTTCTTAACCTGAGGAGTCTTTTAACCCCTCAAATTCACTTTTATTTTTTGTTCTTTTTTTATTTTTCAGGAAAGGATATGATTTTCAGAGAAAACAGTATGGTAAACTAAAGAAGTTTGCAACTGTAAATCCTGAATTTTACAGTGGAACAAAAAGTAAGATTTATCTTAAGCTGAGTCGGAAGGAGAGCTCTTCAATTTATAATAAAGGTAGGCAAACCTGCTCATGTTCATGATTGAGTTCCACACAGTTGAGCATCTTGGTTAACATGCAGCTCTGCAAATCCTTTATAGTAAAGAGAATTCCTAAAGTAGAATTTAATAGTGCCATACAGTGAAAGGTGTGGTATAATAGATCATTCCTAAATAGCATACTTTAAATTTTTAGAGTTTTTAATTACAGCACTCAGGAGACAGTGAATTGAGACCAGCCTGGTCTATAGAGCGAGTTCCAGGACAGCGAGGCTACACAGAGAAACCCTTCTTCAAAAAACCAAAAACAAAAAATTTTTAGAGTTTTTAAAAAATTTTATTCCAGCTGGGTGGTGGTGGCACACACCTTTAATCCCAGCACTAGGGAGGCAAAGCCAAGTGGATCTCTGAGTTCAAGGCCAGCCTGGTCTACAGAACTAGATCCAGGACAGGCACCAAAACTACACAGAGAAACTCTGTCTCGAAAAAACCAATAATAATAATAATAATTCCAGAAGCTACTTTATTGAAAAGTTACACTACATTCTTGGTATCATATAAATAATAAAGTAATTTAACTCTGTGTGCCACCATGGCCCGACATTCATGACCTATTCTTTCTTTTTTTCTATTAGTTTTTCAAGACAGGGTTTCTTTGTGTAACATAACAGTCCTGATTGTCCAGAATTCACTCTGTAGACCAGTCTGGCCTCAAACTCACAGAAGCCTGCCTCTGCCTCTGCCTCTGCCTTTGTCTCTGCCTTCTAAGTACTGGGATTAAAGGTGTGCGATTCTTACCCCAGTCCTCACAATGCTTGGTATGTTGTTAAGGTTTTTTATAGAAATACAAGAAGTTTTTGTGGATATAGTCCTTGAATGGAAATGTTACATTATATATCATGAGAATGTAACATGCATCTTTATTTTAGAGTTCCAAACTGATTTTTTTTTTTAATCAAGTGTAGTCCTAGTACAAGAAACCCTGTGGATCAACCTACTCAAGTGGGTGTACAAAGAACTTGTAGTTTTAGTTTGCACCACTCTGTTCAGCAGTGATTTCAGAATGGTCTTTATGTTGCAGAGTTCTTTAAGCACCAGCTCAAACCTAGTATTGTTTGCCCAACGTTAACTAGCTATGGGCAGTCGGGCTGAGTTGAACCCTTCATTGCGGCGTACATTCTCCTTGCTGGTTTGCTGCTTGCCGCATCTCACAGATGAGGCAGGTTTACCAGATGGACATGCGTTCTAAGTTATCTTCTTGGTGGATGGAAACATTTCCCATAGAAATGAGTCATTCCTTGAAATGTATTATCAGGATAAGTATAGCAGGTTTACTGTTACTAATATTTACTTGGTAAGTCATTTTCCAATACTTTTTGTGTGTGTGTTTTATAAGTATGTTTCTTTTAGACATATTCTAGTATAAAAATTTTACTTATATGGCCGGGTGGTGGTGGTGCACGCATTTAATCCCAGCACTTGGGAGGCAGAAGCAGGCAGATCTCTGTGAGTTTGAGGCCAGCCTGGGCTACAGAGTGAGTTCTAGGAAAGGCGCAAAACTACACAGAGAAACCCTGTCTCGAAAAAACCAAAGAACAAGCAAACAAACAAACAAAAAACCGGAAAAAAAACAAAACAAAAAATTTTACTTCTAGATTATGCTCAATAACTAGATTTATTATGATTGATAAACTTGTATGTTTCTATAAACTTGTATTTTTATTTATTTATTTTACTTTTTCTTATGCTTTTTTTCTATTTTATTTTGTTTTTGAGACAGGGTCTTAACTATATAGTCTTGGTTGGTCTGGCACTTGATATGTAAACCAGGCTGACCTTGAATTCAGAGATCCACCTGCCTCTGCTTCTGGAGTGCTGGGATTAAAGATGTGCACCACCATGCCATGCTATGTTCTTTCCTCCTTTTAATTATAAAAGCTAAAAAAATAAAATTTGTGTTTGGGGGTGTTTTGCCATGTGGATGCTAGAGATTGAACCAGGGTCATCCGCAGTCAGTGCTCTTAAGGTCTGAGCCATTGTTCCAGCCCCACCCTTTTAAAAAAATAATTTGACTGATTTACTTGTGAGTGTGTGTGAGGCAGGTACACACATGCTGTGACACATGTGTGAAGGTCAGGGGACAACCTCTCAGGCATCAGTTCTCCCTACCTTGTCTTAAGGCAGGATAGTCTTGTTTCTGCTGTTGTGCTGTGTATGTGAGCTTCTGGCCTGCTCTGCCTCTGCTTCCCATCTTACCCCATAGGAATTCTGGGATTATTATCCACCCTACCTAGCCATATACATAGGCTCTGACCATCAAAGTTAGGTCATCAGGCTTAAACAGCAAATGCTTCTCTCTCTCTCTCTCTCCCTCCCTCCTCTCCCCCCTCCTTTTGTTGTTTATTTTATTTTATTTTCTTTTATTTTATTTTATTTTATTTTGAGGCAGGGTTTCTCTGTGTAACTCTGGCTGTTTTGGAACTAGCTCTGTAGACCAGGCTGGCCTTGGACCTAGAGAACCTCCTGCCTCTGCCTCCCGAGTGCTAGGAGTAAAGGTGTGTGTCATCATGCTCAGCAAGAGTTTGATTTGTAACTACTCTTGAGCCATCTCCTTGTCCCTTTGCCCTTTTCTATGCTTTTTTAAATCCTTTTCTACCTCGAAAAATGTGTAGTTGAAACAAGTACTTAGAAAGCATTCACATGCCTTACCTATTTACCCTGACTCTGTCCCTCACCATCTCCCAACTGCCTCCCTCCCAGATGATGTTATCCAAACAAGGGCTCCTCAATGTGCAGGTAAGTTCTGATCCACAAACTTACTAGTTCCTGACTAGAAGTGAGGAGTTACTCTAGTGTTATTAAGCTGACGACTGTTGGAGTTCATCAGTAGTTTTATTTGTAACAAGACTTTCTGAATGAAGGAACATTATGTTGAAAGGTTGACAGAACAGGTTGAATGTCCATTATCTGAAAAGCTGGATTCTAAAATGCTGCAAAAGCCACTTTGAGTGATGACATGATACCACCAATAGACAATTCTGTACCGGGAAAATTACTTTGTGTTTGTATCTATATCTCAATTATTAAACATATTGTATAAGGTCTGGGGAAATGGCTCAAGGGGTAAAAGCACCTACTGTGAAAGTGTGAGCACCTGAGTTTGTATCCCCAAAACTCACATAAAAGCCAGGTGCATGGGATGAACATCTGTAATCCCAGCACTACCATGGGGAGATGCGAGGCAGGGACAGGAGGATCCCCAGAAGCTTGGGCCAAATGACCTGGGGGAAGTAGTGGAAAAAATAGTGAAGAGACTCCACATGGTGGAAAGCAAGACCAACACCCAAGATTGTCCTCTGAGTTCCATACAAACAGTGTGGTGCATACACACGCAGATTTACATACACAACACATACATACTTTTTTTTTAAGATGTATTTTTATTTTATGTATATGTGAGTACCTGCCTGAGTATATGTGTATTCTGTTGTGAGTTTTAGTGGTCTGATATCCAGCATGGTAACAGCAGTCAATCATAATGTATCTTGTACTTGAAATCTGCAAAACGTGGAGATCTTAAGGGTTCTTACCATGCACACAGAAGTAACCATGTCAGGTGATGGATATGTTAATTAGCGTGATTGTGGGAATCATCACACAAGACATATCAAAATGTGTTGTAACTGGAATTGTAGTGCAGTGGTAGATTGATTGGGTACGTAACATGCACAAGGCACTAGGTTCAATCCCTGCTACCACCCCAAAATGCTATGCTGAATATCCTAACTAGCTGTAGTTTTAATTTGTTTGTTTGTTTTGGTCAAACTTACCTCAGTAAAGCTGGACTTTGAAAATGTTTGGCCTTTCAGGTGATCTTTGGGTGATTTCAAAAACCCTAGACTTCAAACTAGATACCTTCATCGCATGCAGTGCCTTCTTTGGGCCGTCTTCGGTCAATGAAGTGGAGCTGCTGCCTTTGAAAGGCTATTTCCCTTCCAATTGGCCCACCAACAGTAAGTGTCCTGTCCACCTAAATTCTGTTCATCCAGAACAACAGACACAGGAGGTGGTGAGAGCGAGAGTGATATGTGTGGGCTTGTTTGATTCAAGCCAGTGAAAGGACCCGTCTCCAGTTTCTAATAGTGTATGCAGAGTGATCCTGAAAACACGTATTGTTTCTGTCTTGTAACAGAACCCTGACCAAAAGCAGCTTGCGGGAAGAAAGGGTCTGTTTTGGCTTACAGGTTATGGTCCATCATCAAGGGAAGCCACGGCGTGGAGGCAGGAACTAAAGCAGAAATCAGGGAAGAGCACTGCTTACTGGCTTGCTTCCCATGGCATGTTCAGCCTACTTTGTTGTGCAGCCCAGGGTCACCTGCCCAGAGGTAGCACGGCCTACAGTGGGCTGGGCCCTTCCACTTGAGTCATAAATCCTGAAAATGCACCGCAGGTTTGCCTAACAGGCTGGTCCGATGGAAGTATTAGTATTTTCTCATTTGGAGTTACCTTTTCCTGGTTTGTGTCAAGTTGACATAAAACTAACACGTGTATGAAAGTTGAATTTGTAAATATTTCTATAGAACTAACAATATAATGAAGTCTTTAGGGGCTTGAGAGATGTATCAGTGGTTACGAGCAAGTATTGCTCTTGCAGAGGACCCAGGTTTAGTCCCAGCACCCACACAATAGTTAATCATCATCTGTAAGGCAGTTAGGAGGATCTGGCACCTGCTTCTGACCTACAAGGGCACTGGGCACACATGGAGTACACATATACATGCATGCAGATAAAACACTTATCCACATAGAAAAAGAAATCTTGAACTATCACTTAGTATTTGGTTAAGATTGAATTTTATATACTATATACCTGATTTTTTTAAAATGTGAACATTGGACATGAATCCTTTTTCATATAATTTTATTTAGATGAGTTCTAATTTTCTTGGTCTTTGAAGGTATATTTTGTAAACAGTATATCTTTACATTGAGAAGGTTTTAGAGATTTGAGATTCAGCAGAATATAATTTTTATCTTGAGTACCTAAGCTATTTTGAGAAATTCTCTTTTTAGATGCATTTATTTTTATGTGTCTGAGTGTTTTGCCTGCTTATATGTCTGTGCCACACATGTATGCCTGGAATATGCAGCAGTCAGAACATGGCATTGAGACCCCTGGCACTGGCATTACAGATGGTTGTAAGTTGCCATGTGGGTGCTAGGAATTCAACTCTGGCCATCTGGAAGAGAAACAAATACTGAACTGCTGAGCCAGCTCTCTAGCCCCTCTTGAGAAAGTTTTATGAAGACAGACTACTCACCTTATTTTTCTTTTAGTAAGGGAATCTTTAGGCCTGGGCTACGTAAGACTTGTCTTCAACGGGAAATTATAAATTCCCTGACATTTAAGGTCCTGAGAAGTCTTGTAGCAGAAGAGACTTTAGTAAGTTACACTCATCTAGTTCTATGAATATGGAAGTTTCTGGAGACTTCTCTATACATTTTAGTCTCTATTTCTGATAGTTGAATTTGGTCCATAGTGAACTAAAGAGACAGCATTTAATGATCCTAGATTTCTAGTATTTCATGTTTTTAACCTTTGATCTCCCACCACCCTCCAACACCCTTCTTTTTGGTTGAGGCAGGATCTTGCTGTGAAGCCCAGCCATGAACTCACAGAAATCCTGCCTCCACTTCTGGAGTGCTAGGATTTTAGGCATGCGTGACTTCCTCTTTTTTCCCCCTTTATGTTGTTTATTTATTTATTTAATGAGACAGAGTCTTACTATGTAGACCTGGCTGGCTTCAAACTCACAGTGATCCACCTGCTGTTGGGATTAAAGATATGATCCACAGCTGGGCGGTGGTGGCGCACGCCTTTAATCCCAGCACTCGGGAGGCAGAGGCAGGCGGATCTCTGTGAGTTCGAGGCCAGCCTGGTCTACAAAGTGAGTTCCAGGAAAGGCGCAAAACTACACAGAGAAACCCTGTCTCGAAAAACCAAAAAAAAAAAAAAAAAAAGATATGATCCACTCTACTCAACTGATTATTTTTACGTAGTCAACCTGTATGAACCCAACAAGAGCCCAATTAACAATTAGTCACTTTTCAGGTGGACATTTTTGTGTTTGTTGCAGATGCTTTCTTAGCAATGTTCGCATTCCAGTTTTCTGTTTTTCATATGTTTAATAAATGATTGAGGAAGAAATACAAGAAAGTTTAAAAACTGCACACACTCCTCTCCAGCACAAGCACTATGGAAACAGCCGCCGCTGTCAAGTGGTGTCCCGCCCACACTAGCCCTGTTCTTCATGTACTATACATTGTTCCAAGTGTGATTGCTGTTACACAGTTCATGAGTGCTCACACTCAAAATGAATGTAAAAGGTAGATGTTTAAACACCTCTGCATGTTCCAAAAATTTCATTTTATGTCATCTGACTAGTTCGGAGGCTAGCCTCTGAGTTAGAAGAGCATTTAATCAGTTTGTTTGTGTTGGTTTTATTTACATCTAATACTCATTTTCTGTGTTGTCTCTGTAGTAACAGTCCATGCATTATTGGTTTGTAATGCCAGCACAGAGCTGACCACTCTGAAAAACATTGAGGATTACTTTAACCCAGCTACTCTTCCAATAATGCCACACCTGTTAGCAATGTAAGTCATTTTTTATCTTTGGATCATTGGTATTAAATTATAGTGGCCTAGTTTGCTCTTTATTGTTTTCTAATGCTGTGATAAACACTGTAGTAGAAGCAACTTGGGAGGAAAGAGTTTATTTCATCTTACAGCATATAGTCTATCGTGAAGGGAAGTCAGGGCAGGAACTCAGTGCCGAAACCTGGAGGCAGGATCTGAAGCAGAGACTATGGAGGAACATAGCTTATTGGCTTGCTCAGTCTACTTTCTTTTGCAACCCAGAACCCCCTGCCTAGGGGTAGCACCACTTACAGTTGGCTAGGCCCTCCCTGATCAATCATTAATCAAGAAAGTGCCCCACAAATTTTCCCATGGACCTATGTGATGGAGGCATTTTCTTGATTGAGGTTCCCTCTTCCCAGATGACATGAGCTTGTATCAAGTTGACAAAATAATTAACCAGTCCAAATGGTAACTGAAAGTGCAATAACAGAACATTAAGTCTATTTTACCAACAAAATTTTAATTAGCTTTTAGATCAGGAGATTGCTATATATTAGAAGTTAAGCATAAAACAGATGTGGCTCAGTGGTGGAGTGCTGTCAGCATGTATGAGGCTCTGGCTTTGATCCCCAGCACCAAAAATAAATAAATAAAATTTGTAAGAGGAAAGAAAAAAATGTAGGTATTACTTCCCTTCCACCTGCTTATTTGTTGTGGTTTGGGCTCATTCTGAAACTTATTCCTCTTTATCCCCAGGGGTTACTTTTTAAAGGATCATTATAGTGCATAATTTCATTCATCTATATGGTTTTTACTGTGTATAGTGTATTCCCTGCATGCATGTATGTGCACCATGTGTGTACATAGTGTCTGGGGGCCATAAAGGCTATTGGATCTCCTGGAACTAGAGTTACAACCAGTTGTGAGCTGCCATGTGGGTGCTGGACTAGAACTGGATTCCCTGGAAGAGCAGCCAGTGCTCCTCCCTGCCGAGCCTTCTCTCCGGCCGCTTATCTGTATCTTTATGCTGTATATCACTGAGCAGTCAAAAGAATGATTTGATAGGGCAGATGTTGAAATCGTTTTCATTCTAATTACCTGTATCTCACTTTTAAATTTCTCTACACTGAGGCTCTTTTTAAAAAATCAGAAATATGGCTCTTTTTGCCACATCCTTGAGGCCCTAGGTTTCATATTCATTACCACATAAATCAGCTGTGGCAATATATTGTACTCTTACCACTTCTGGTAGAGGTAGAGATAGCAAACACATGAATTCTAGTTCATCTTTAGCTACATAGAGAGTTCCAGGTCAGCCTGGGATACATGAGACCCTGCCTTAATAAATCACCGAATGAATGAATGAATGAAAACAATTGGAAAGTCAATTTATACTTAATGTATTAAAATGAGAAAAGTACGTTTTCTTGCACTGGGCATTCAACCCATACATGCTAATCAAGTGCTCCAGCACTGAGCTACAGTCTCAGCGCCTCTCTTCCAATTTGGGTTGTTGTTATCATCTGTCTTGCAGCATTACCCTTTTCTTTGCCACAATGCCCTAGGTTGTTGTTTTTTATTTATTTTTTGAAGCCTTGTAACTTCATTTTTATATATTTTAAATAACAATAAAATCCATTTGCCTATTATAATTTTACCTGATGTAGAAGCTATGTTAATTATCTAAGCCAGTGTTCTACTTATTAGTGCTGCGATTTTGTGGAAACATTTCAATATTTACTTATCTTTATTTAGGATAATTCCTTTTTATGTGAAGAGTATATAAATTAGTATGTAAATTACTAAAATCTATGCCAGCATATAGTAGGTATTCTGTAAATATTAGTTCTCTTGCACCCTCCAGATTGAAGCCTATTCTCCAAAAATGTTCTCTGACGATTGTAAAGTGAAAGCTAAGTTATGAATGAGTTCACTCACACACTTCAAAAGTCCCTGTTTCTGATGTACTCTCTTTTTACTAGGTCTCGGCCAACTACATTTAACAATAAAAATGTCAGTAAAAGAAAATTTATCCCACCAGCTGTTGCAAATATTAAAACAAAAACTGAACTCCTGAACCTAGGAGCAACCCTGCAGTTAGCTAGTGAGTTGATTGACATACACAGGTTGAACAAGGATCAGGCTCGAGCACTAATTCAGATAGCTCAAATGATGGCCTCCCAAGAAAGTGATGAAGACACACTGGAGCCCTGCACCCGTTCCCTGCCTGTCACAATTATCCATGGTAAGAAAGAGACAGTCGTGGTAGATGTAAACATTTATAGGGTATTCTGCTCTTTTGTAGTGTTCTAGTGGGTAGGAATGTATTGTTTTCATATCCTGACTCCATCGTTTATTGGCTGTATGTAACAGGGACTATGGGGGTCCTGCTCCTCTCCCAGGGTCCGGGAAGAATCTACAACCAGCTGTTAATCTAATCTTTGATGATATGAAATGAATCTACATACACAAAACTCTTTAGTCCATACACTTTATTCCTCTGAGTCAGTTCTCTCTCTACACAGCTTCTATTCTGCTCTCATGCCTAGCTCCTTGCCTGATTTCTCTCTACATTTATCTGCTGTCCCCTCTAAATTCTATCTTAATTCTCTCATCTTAGTTCTGCCCTGTCTAGGTTCTCATCCATCTAGTTCTTTCCCATCTCAGCTCCTCTCCCATCTCCTTCTTTCTCTTCTTGTTCTTCCTCATCTTGTTCTTCCCCATCTGGCTCTTCCTCATCTTCCATCTCATTCCTCTAGTACTTTCTTCTAGCCCTTTAATCTAGTTCTTCCCCATCTCAGTTCGTTCCTCTCCAGTTCTTACCCATCTAGTTCTTCATTCTCTTTTCTCGTTTTCATCTTGCCATCTGAAAATAAAACTGCTTTTTTTTTTTTTTTTAAATCACTTTGGCCCTTATCTCTCCAAGCTATCTCTGCTCCTGACATTTCTGGTGAGTGTGCTTGGTTGCTAGGCAACTTGGCTAGGCATCTTCCATCACAGCTAGATGTACCTGTAAGTTGGAACCCTTTAGTTCTGAGTAAATTGTTAAGGGTGGATCTAAAACTAGAGATAAGACTTTGGAAAGGGAGAAAGTTAAGCTTAATTAGCACATCCACCAGGCCTTCTCAAACAGATAGTCTGGATGCTTAGTCTGTTCTTAGAGAATCTCTGAGGTGTCTGTGAGGTATCTCAGATAAGATACTTTCATCCATCTGGGGATGGTCCTGGCCAGATGCTGCTAATCATGATAGTGACAGAAAGGCCTGAAATTATGGATACTGGCCATGTCACTGCACAGAAGGTTATCTAAATATTCCTTTAGTATAGAGTAAATGGTGCCCAATGAATGATGGAAAAGCTGCAATAGCACACGAGAAATTCATAGCAGGAAACGGCTAATAATCAAAAGCCAATATCACCAAGACTCCATGAGCCTCAGCTTGACCTATGGAAGGCCCTTGGCTTCTTTTAGGTATTAGCTTGTCATAATCAGCTGAAATCCCATTTCATACATTTTTTTGCAGCTCGCAGCATGTATGATCTTGGATAGGTGACTTACTTCTTAGCTTTGATTTCCTGTTCTGTGAAATGTGGAATAAAAATAGCACATACCTTGTATGGTTGGGTGTTTAAATGATTAAATATAAATAGAATGCTTAGAGGAGTGTACAGTGTATGGGGCCCTCATTAAAGTTGCATTTATTATGTTGACAAGTGCTAGGATTAAGGGTATGTGCCACCATGCCCAGCTTCCACACAGTTTTTCTAAGACATATATTCTTACAAGTCAGTCCAGTTGCTTAAAGTCCTTCAGTGTCTGCCTGCCAGCTTCAAGAGAAATTTCAAAATTTTTAGCTATAGTGGACTTACGATTTATCTTTTTTTGAGACAGTATTGCCTGGTGGCCTAGAACTCACAGAGAACCACCTGCCTCTGCCTCCTGAGTCTGATTTGTCCTCTTATGGTTTATCCCTTTACCTACCCAAGCCTCCTTTCTTGCCTCTTTGCTGTGTACCTGTGGAAATTTCTGAAAGTGCTGTCAACACGCTTAGCTGACTTTCTGTAGAGTGTCAGTGTGGGATTTTGGGAGACTTAGTTCTGCTTCTTCTTTCTTTAAAGGACACTTTCCCATCTCCACCAGGCCAAAGATAGATAGTTTTTCTTCTCTGGTCCCATAACAGTGTTACCCTGTTATCATAATCTCTTTACCTATTTATCCTGTTTACTGTAGCCTTACTGAAGATGATAATGTTTTCTTTATCTGTTTATCCTCTTGCATAGCACATAGTGGACACTCTTTTTTTTTTTAAATATATTAATTAGTTAAATGAAGGAAGGTAAGATAGAGAAGATATTGCTTGTGCATTCATAAAAAAGTTTTTATGGTATTTTAGGTGTTTTTGGAGCAGGCAAAAGCTATTTGCTGGCTGTGGTGATTTTATTCTTTGTACAGCTGTTTGAAAAGTGTGATGCTGGAACAGTTGGAAATGGAAGGCCATGGAAACTTCTCATTTCTTCTTCCACTAATGTAGCTGTTGACAGAGTGCTTCTTGGGTAAGTATGACAAGTGGGTTTAAGTAACTGATATTTTATATTATTGCTGAGAGACAGTACACTGAATTCCTAGTGTCCATATGTATTCTTGCTGCCTGACAAGAGTGTAAGGCCATTGCTTGTGACCCAAGAGCTATGAAGTAGTAACAGTCTAACTTCTTAAGAAGTAATTGTTCATTTAGCTGACAGTTTATTTTTAACAGTTTGGAATAACCCTATAAAATGCAAGTTCAGCCAAGAACATGCAGGGCTGGAAGTGTGTTGCTGAGGGAGGCAATCTGGTGAGCCCTGAGCATTCCTTTGAAAGGCATTTTTCAGGGTTACAAGTTGGACTGATGGGGTAATGTCTTCCTCTGGAATTAAAAGGATGATTGCCCACTGCTTGTTGCTAAGAGTAGAGGATTTCCAACCTCAGTGCCCCTTAGCTGTACAGTTGAACTCATCGCACGTGCAGGCATCTGCTAAGATGCTCTACATCTCCTGGTGGATCCTGGGGTGTAAGCAGAATTTCTCTGTCCCACCCCACTCTCAAATAATCACTCAGAGGCTTAATATAAATTATAAATGCTCGGCCGGTAGCTGAGGCTTATTACTAACTGGCTCTTACATTTAAATTAACTCACAATTCTTACCTATGTTTAGCCATGTGGCTTGGTACCTTTTCTCAGTACGACATTCTCATCTTGCTTCCTTGTGTCTGACTGGTGACTCCTGACTCCACCCTTCTCCTTCCCTGCATTCTCAGTTTGGCTTTCCCTCCTAACTTCCTGCCCAGCTACCGGCTGTCAGCTTTTTATTAACCAATGAGAGTAATACAAATTCATAGTGTAGAAAAGGATTATTCCACAGCATTGGGGACCAAAGGACTCACACGCAGCATGGTGCTTATGCTATTTCCTGTCATATTTGCCTCTGACTCAGAGGGTTGGTTTATTATCATAGACATCGGTTAAATTCCAATCACCAAACCAACAATTATAGGCCATTCTCTTGCTCATACACCTGTATAAACGCATTAACATAGCTGAACAATGTAAGTTATGTCATTGTTTTAATAAGAGGGATACAAAGAAGCCAATAACAATGTAAGTAAATACAAAAAGAATTTTTAACTCTCTCTCTCTCTCTCTCCTCTGTGTGTGTGTGTGTGTGTGTGTGTGTGTGTGTGTGTGTGTGTGTGGTACAAGTGTACACCTTGACATGTATAGAAGTCAGAGGAGAATGTCATCTCCTACTTTATCACTCCGCCTTATTACTTACTTTGAGACAGACTATCTTTCTGAGCCTGAATCTAGCCTCTGCCCCTCATAGTACTAGGTTATAGGTGATTGCATGACCATGTCAGGTTTTTGGTTTCTAATGTGGGTGCTAGGGATTTGAGCTCAGGACTCCTGCTTGCATAGCAATAGCAAATGCTCTTACTTTTGATTTCCTGTTTTTGTTTGCTTGTTTAATTGCAAAGAAGGTCTGGTGAAATGGCTCAACAGGTAAAGGCATTTGCTGCCCAGGTGGTGAACGGAGGCACATGTGTGCCCAGATTGGCATGAGTGTGCACACACAGGGACAATAAATAAGTATATTTTTAAATGCCAAGGAAATACTCAATGTTTATCAGTAATTTAGTATTTATCTGAATTTCAACATAAACAACAGCTTTGTTTTTAAAAATTCATGATTCATATAGCTAGTCTTTTTGTTTAATCTCTCTGTGTGTTTGTGTGTGTGTGTGTGTGTGTGTGTGTGTGTGTGTGTGTGTGTGTGTGTGTGTGCCACAGCATACATGTGGAGGTCAGAGGACAACTTCAGGTCCAGGGTAGTATCTGATGGCCTCTTCTGGCATTCTCAGACACCAGATACACACCATACATTCAGGTAGAAAGAAATATTAAAGAAATATTAAAAAAAATAAACTTTCAAAATTTTTTTATTTGCCAGGTATAATGGCACAAGCCTTTAATTCCAGAACCTGGGAGACAGAGGGAAGTGGATCTATGTAAGCTTCAGTCTAGCCTACATAGTAAGACTCTGCCTAATTTTTTTAAGTCTTATTATTTGGTATATAAGGCTGATGTGTGTAGGCACACATGCTACATTACGTGTTTCACAGCCAGAGGACAACACTATGAATTCATTTTTTTCCCACTACCTTTACATAGGTTCAGAGATGGAATTCAGGTTTCCCAGCTTGCATGGCAAGGATTTTTTGCCTAATGAGCCATTTCCCCAACCTTAAAATTAACCCTTCGTCAAATTAATGTGGTTGCTGGAAAATACTTAGGTTAGAGAAATGAATTAGCAGTTGAGAGTATGCACTGCTGTTCTAGAGGACTGGTGTTTGTTTCCTAGCACCCATAACAGATGTCAGCTCCAGGGAATCCAACACCTCTGGTCTCTGTCTGCACACACTCACACTCACACTCACACTCACACTCACGCATATACCCAATTGAAAAACAAAACTAAAATATTTTGAAGAACGTATATACATTATATATTTTATATTTCTTCATGGATTATGTTTATATCCATTCACATTTACTTCTTAAACATGGAATTCAGTAACATAACATTATGTATTGTTTCATGTCTTGCTTTTTAAATTTAATAAAAAAAATAATAAAATAAATAAATTTAATAAAATTTTTTTTTCTTTTTTATTGAGACAGCGTCTCATATACCTTAGAGTTGGCTCAAAGCCACTGTTAACCAAGGACGACCTTCTGCCGCTCCCTGCTAAGTGCTGGGAAGTCAGGCACATGCCACCAGGCCCAGCTATGTCTGATTTCTTTTTTTAAACTTAAAGTTTATTTTGGACTGGAGATGAAGCTCAATGATAAAGCACTGACCTAACATATACAACATACATGCGCGCGCACACACACACACACACACACACACACACACACACACACACACGAGTGCGAGCGCACGTATGCACGTACTGGGTCTTACTCCTTGGCTGTCCTGGAACTCACTTTTTAGACTGGGTTGGCTTTGAACTCAGAGACTCATCTGCCTCTGTTTTCTGAGTGCTGGGATTAAAGGTGTGCAGTGCAATGCCCAATGACTTTTTATAATTATATTCAGTGATTTGCTGATACCATTATTCAAGTGAGTTTTAATCAGTAAATTACAAAATTTTACCAATATAAATTATATTGTGACAAAAACTTTAAGTCTTTATATCTATCTCTGAATCTTTGTCTTTTAAGTAACTTTAAAAAAAACAACTATGTGTGACAGAGACAAAGAGAGACACAGATATAGACTAGATCCACCGTGGGTTCTGTGCATCAAACATAACTTGTCTGGCTTATCCAGCAAGCTCTTCTATCCACCAAGCCAGCTTGCAAGCTCACGAAAATGTCCTAAGCTAGGGTAAAAATAGAAACATCTTATGTTTCTTGATATATTTTAAAAGATTGCCCATTGGACCAGATCTTGTGCTCATTGCATGAGTTGGCTGTTTGAAACCTGGGGCCTATGCAGGATTGTTTGGCTCGGCCTGGGAGGAAGGGACTAGACCTACCTGGACTGAGTCTACCAGGTTGACCTCAGTCTGTGAGGAAGGCTTTGCCCTGGAGGAGATGGGAATGGGGGGGGGTTGGGGGGAAGGTGAGGGGGACGGGAGGGGGGAGAACAAGGGAATCCGTGGCTGATATGTAGAACTGAATTGTATTGCAAAATAAATTAATAAAAAAAAAAAAAAAAAGATTGCCCATTGGGAGAGTTTTGCTATTGTGCACTCTCATGAGATACCTAAGAGTGAATAAGGACAACATTTTTTTTTTTTAATCTAAGATAATGGGGAATTACCTGGGACTTAGAACAAACTAATTGCTTTTACTTTATTTGAGTTTAGATATTTCAAATTGAATTATATAACTCATAAAATGCAGTTCTGTGCAAAAAATAATAATGAACATGTTTGTGCACATCTATATGTCTAGTTCTCAAGAGACTGAGGCAAGAGCATTGAGAGTTTAAGGATAGTCTGGGCTACATAATGTCTTTAAAGAAAAGTTCACAGGGTTGGAGAGATGGCTCAGCAGTTAAGAGCACTGACTGCTCTTCCAGAGGACCTGGAATTCCCAGCACCCACATGGCAGCTCACAACTGTCTGCAATTCTAGAATCCAGTACCCTCACACAGATACACATACATTCAGGCAAAACGTTAATGCATACAAAATAAAAAATAAATTATATATATATAAAAGAAAAGCTCACATTAAAATAAGTAATACATGAAACTGTGTTTTACACTCTGCTTTGTAAGTAAAGAGAATCTCTTTTGTCTTATTTTCTTTAAGGCTTCTCAGTCTTGGATTTGAAAAGTTCATCAGAGTTGGGAGTGTTAGGAAGATTGCCAAGCCAATTTTACCTTACAGGTGAGACTGCTAAATCCTAAAAGTTACAGAATATTCTAAGAAGTAGGAAACTAGGCCCACTCCAACATCTACTCTATCTGTGATCTGCTGGGTCATGGGGGAGGAGGGGGGCAGGGGGCTGCAGATCTCCATGACACAGGACAGCAATGGAATGTCTAGGAAGAGTCCCAGTGAGAGCCCAGTGTTGATGGTGTGGCAGAGACCAGGGGCCTTGAACCAGACCAACTGTTCTTTGCAATGAATGCCTGTATGTAAAGATGTATGGAGAAAGGGGTTTACTGTGTGACTCACTGTGTCACACTGCAGCTTTCATGATGAGATTTTTCCCCTTCTTTTTTTTCTCTTAAATTTTATTTTATTCATTTATTCTTTTGGTGGGGAGAGATTGGTAGGATTGGCAGGCATGATATGAAAGACACAAATAATAAAAAGAAAATTAAAGAAAAAAGGGGTATGAAAACGTTATGTTTTTTAACCTTAAATTTGGCCTTTGATAGCTTAGTTAAATGAGGAAACCTAAGTAGAAATTCTAACTTAGAGTAAACAAAGTAGGTGTGGTGGTGCCTGCCTTTAATTCTGGCTCTGGGGAGGCAGAAGCTGGTGGATCTCTGAGTTCGAAGTCAGCGTTATCTCCATAGCTAATTCCAGGACAGCTAGGACTAGACAGTGAGATCTTGTCTCAGAAAAACAAAAACAAGCAAACAAACATAAAAAAGTCTAATCCATTTTATTCCTTCTGGTGTATAAGAATGTATAAGAAATGAAATGAGCAAGGAATATTTTCTTATGTTACTCAATTTCAGCTTGCATGCTGGCTCAGAAAATGAAAGTGAACAATTGAAAGAACTGCACGCATTGATGAAGGAAGACCTGACTCCTGCAGAAAGGGTTTATGTGAGAAGAAGTATTGAGCAGCACAAACTGGGGACCAACAGAACCCTGCTGAAGCAGGTGAGGTGGAATTGCGTCAGTCCTTTCTTGATCTGTATGTTCTGCTCAGATTCTTCTTAGTTGTGGGATGGATGATCTTTAATTCAACAAGGTGTATGCCTCCTGTGTCCTTACAGACTCTACCTAGTGCATCTTTTGATTGCTGCAAACATTCTTCAAGTTGGGGATGAACATCTTAGTCACCATGCCTGCGGCATTCTTTCTTCTCCCTTTACATAGAGGCTTAAAGACAAAAATGGGGAGCTTTGAATAAATTCTTGGTATGCTCAGTAAAATTAGTTGTATTCTAGGAGACAGAAAAAAGGTTTTTACTCTGGGTAAAATATCAGAGTGCAAATTTGTCTTTGATGTGCTCCTAGAAAGCCGGGTCTCTCAGGATCTGTCTGTGTCCAAGAACCCCAGTAGTACTCCACTGGCTCCCAGGCATTGGGTGCCAGGTGCCTGGACTGCAACAAGAAGTTTTTTTTTTTTTTTTAAGTTTTTCGAGACAGGGTTTCTCTGTGTAGCTTTGCGCCTTTCCTGGAACTCACTTGGTAGTCCAGGCTGGCCTCGAACTCACAAAGATCCGCCTGCCTCTGCCTCCCGAGTGCTGGGATTAAAGGCGTGCGCCACCACCGCCCGGCTTGCAACAAGAAGTATTATCTCCTTGGTGAAGGGCATCATGGGTAGGAGAGAAAGATCAGTGGCTTCATCCTATGACAGTGATGCCTGAGGAACAGAACAGTGGGTGAAGAAAAAGGGAAGTCATTGGCTCCCTTGGACCGCATGGACATTGACCATTTTCTGCAAAGAGATTTTGGGAAACCAGCCTGTCTTGACCTTGTCTTGGTCAACTGTTGCTGAAATCATGCTGCTGAACAACAGGATCTCGGGACAACTTAGCACACCATGTCAGCTGCTATGGCTCAGCTTCGACTGTGAGCCAGTCTCGTTCTTTGTGCTATCTGCAAACCACCTTGTACTTAAAGCAGCACAGGAGAGCAGGCTAGACCTTTAGAGCTTCTGCTCATGTCCTGGCCCCTACCATCCTGTTTGCTTTAAGCCCACATCAGTGAGGCAAGAAAACAGCCTCCACCTGCCCCTCTGGTAGTAAGCACGGCTAGTGTGCTGGATGTCATACAAACCTTACAGGGAAAGCAAAATAGAAAGTAATGACCAGTACATGACAGGTCTGCATTTTAGGAGTCCCCACAATACTGTCTTTGTTTTTGTTACAGCATCTTTCTGTGTAGCCCTGGCTGACCTGGAACTCAACAGTGATCCCGTCTCTGCCTTCCTAGTGCTGGGATTAACAGCATGAGCTGCCACAGCATCTAGAAGTTCCTAGACTCCTTGAGATTAATTTTCTATAATCAGAGTTGTAGAATTTACTCTATGCTACCTCTCCTCAACCAAATGCTGAATTTGGTTGTTCTCCATGAATACAAATTGTCATTTGTGTAAATTACTCAACTGGCTATAATAACAATATATAAGAATAGCTGCTGCCGGGGGTGGGGGGTGCCCCACGCCTTTAATCTCAGCACTTTGGAGGCAGAGATAGGCGGATCTCTGTGACCTTGAGGCCAGCCTGGTCTACAGAGCAAGTTCCAGCACAGCCAGGACTAACTACACAGAGAAACCCTGTCTCAAAAAACAAAACAACAAAAGAATAGCTGCTGATATTTTTTGATAAATTTTAGTTATAACAATCTTTTGCTTATTAGCATTACCTATTCACAAATGAAACTATGTTTTTTTTTTTTTAAAACTGCACTAACTAGTCCAGTCAAGCAGACAGACCTGATGCTCCTCAGTACTTCTGACTTTACAATAAAACTTTCAAAGCATGCTTTATAGTTCCTACTTCCTAGTCAGCAACAGAGTGTCTTCTGCTAGTCCACTCTCAGCAGTATAACAATGAATTGAAAGATAAAAACGGCCTGGCCTGGTGGTGCACGGCTTTAATCCCAGCACTTGAAGGAGGCAGAGGCAGGTGAGTCTCTGTGAGCTGAAGGCCAGCCTGGTCTACAAAGTGAGTCCAGTGCAGCCAGGCAGGGCTACATAGAGAGACACTGTCTCAAATAACAACAACAAGCTAAAAATAATAAAATGCTTAAGGAAAAACCTTCTTTTTTAAATATTTTTAAAAGCTTATTGATTTATAAATTTAAGATTTTTCTTCTAAATTGCTTTTGTTAGATATAGTTTCCAGAAATTAAATAACAAATAGTGTTTCAGAGTTGTACCAAGAGAAGTGTATGAGCTACAGATTGGATATTTTTAAAGAACTAAGTGCTTACACTCTGGGATTTCTAAGACCAAGTGGCTTTCAGTTATTTATTTATTTATTTTAGTTTGTATGTATGTGTGTGTGACTGTATATGGATATGTAGGTACCTGCAGAGAACAGAAGAGAGAGTTGGGTCCCTTGGACCTGGAGTTATAGGGGTTTGTTAGCTGTCCAGTGTGGGTGTTGGGAACTGAACTCAGGTCCGCTGGAGAAATTGTAGGGTGCCTAACCTACTGAGTCATCTTGACAGCTCCCAGATTTCTTTTTAAGGTTATACTTTTTTCTTTTGTTGTTTGTTTGTTTTTAAGATTTATTTATCTACTTAAAGATGTGTGCTCTATCTGCATGTACAACTTTATGCCAAAAGAGGGCATCAGATTCCACTAATAGATGATTGTGAATTGAACTCAAGACCTCTGGAAGAGCAGCCAGTGCTCTTAACTGCTGAGCCATCTCTCTAGTCTGCTTTTGTTGTTTGTGTTTTGAGACAGGGTTTCTCTATGTATCCCTGGCTGTCCTGGAACTTGCTATGTAGACCAGGCTGGCCTCAGATTCACAGAAATCCACCTGCTTCTGCCTCCTAAGTGATGGGATTAAAGTCATATACCTCACCTGGTCTTATTTTTTTTTTAATACATTTTTTGTGTGCGTGCGTGCGTGCGTGTGTTTGTGTCAGAAGACCGTTTGCAGAGGTTCTCTCCTTCCTCCATGTTGGTCCTGGGGAGTGAACTCAGACCATCAGGCTTAATGAAAGAATAAAAGTGTAACTGATACAGAGCTATTGTGTATGATAAATGTTAAGAAAATAATGCTTATAATTTTTTCTTAGGCTCTATGGGGGCAACAGTTGAGAACCCTATTTTTGTTAGTTAGGTTTATTGAAAAAAACCATTTGGTATTGATGCTCTGAAAGCATATATACAAGTAACAATATACATGTAGACTGAGCGGATTGTATGGGTGTATTTAGGAAAACACACATACATAACAACAAGTAATGAAAAAGAGGCCATGAATTTGAAAGAGAGCATGAGGGGATATATGGCAGGCTTAGAGGTAGGAAAAGGAAGGGGGAAATGATGTAATTATAATGTCAAACCCCAAAAATTTTAAAATATTTATGTATTTATTTATTTATTTCACATATATGGATATTTTCTATGAATGTATATCTGCACATCAGAGGGCATCAGATCCCATGGGACTGCAGTTACAGGTGGTTGTGAGCTACCATGTGGATATTGGGAATTGAACTCAGGCCTCTGACAGAGCAAGGAGCTAGTGCTCTTAACTGCTGAGCCCTCTCTCTAGTCCTAAAAAGAAGTAATTTTTAAAAAGAGATCATCTGTTTATTTGGACTGCCCTTGCTATGCGGTGCCATTATACTATAGATATTAGGAAGGGAAATGGATCTATACACACATATCATTCATACAATAAATATGTGTATAACTCACAGATAGTGGACCACGAGCATGTCTAATTTCAAAAATTCATTGATTTTTCTATTGTATATTATATAATAAGTAAATATTAGCCTTTCAAGCTTTGTGCCTTGAACACAATGGTATTTTCATACAATATTTAAGGTTTGTACAATTCAGATACAGTTAAGGGTAAAAGTACATTTGAAGTTTTATTTTATTTGAGTCAAGGACTCATTGTATAGCCCAAGTTGCCCTTGAATTCCTGATTCTCTTGCTTCAACCCCCTGAGTACTGGAATTACAGGCATGGCCTGTTTAGACAGCTACCTTCTTAAGTAATCACAGTGTTATAGCGTTCATAGGTTTCTTAGCATATTCTGTGTTCTTTGTGGAAAACATGGGTCATTGTTGATAAAATGTGCTTCCTGTTAATTCAGGCTCTCCTAGAAGACAAAGGAAGTTATCCTTGAAGCTTCTTGAACCATTCCTGCTTTAATATATCCTTTCTGTTGTAATATAGAGTAAGCATGTTCTTGCTAGTGACCTTATAAAGTAGCTCATTTCCTGTAACACCTACTTTATGTGTGAGAGTAATGAAAATGTAGCTACAAACTGACAACTGATTTCTAATTAGCAGGAACCAAAGGTTTGATTAGTCTTCTGACAGCCTTCAAATTCTCCAGTAAATTCTTGATTTACTTTTTTTTTTTTTTGGTTTTTCGAGACAGGGTTTCTCTCTGTAGTTTTGCGCCTTTCCTGGAACTCACTCTGTAGATCAGGCTGGCCTCGAACTCACAGAGATCCGCCTGCCTCTGCCTCCCGAGTGCTGGGATTAAAGGCGTGCGCCACCACCGCCCGGCTGATTTACTTTTAATAGCCATTGGTTAGTGATATTTTTGTTTTTCTGGGCATGGTGACTCACAACCATGATCTCAACACTCAGGAGAGAGGTTGAGGTAGGAGGTTTTCAGGCTAAGCATGGCCTACATAGTACATTGTAAGCTAGCCTGGTCTGCCTTGTCTCAAAACACATTTTTTTTTTAATAAAGGTCCGAGTCGTTGGCATTACCTGTGCAGCCTGCCCGTTCCCATGCATGAATGACCTTAAATTCCCTGTGGTTGTGCTGGACGAGTGCAGCCAGATGACAGAACCAGCCTCGCTCCTTCCTATTGCAAGGTAACCCACTCTCTTCCCAATAGTACACACAAGTCAGTTAGTTCAGACCTTTCCTGGGTTCAGTCTCTCAACAAAGACTTGTCAGAATTCTTAGCAATTCAGTTACTAACATTCGCTTTGTAAATAATAAACTTTTGAAGTAAATATATCACAATTTTGTGAGCTTATAGTGTAGCTGTTAGAATCACACAGTCCTTAGAACCTTAAGAGCATTAGTGCTAGGACCCTTAGAGGACTTCCCAGGTGTGTCAGCTGCGTAAGTGGTTCCTACCTCCACTGGGCAGTGTCCTCCAGGTCCCTTTCTTTTGTATGATTTGATGGTTTAGCTTTTAAAAGTATTCTTTAAGTTTATGAAAGAATATGTAGAAAAGTATATTGAAAATGAAAGTTTGTTCCCAGAATTTTTTTTAAGATTTATTTATTATTATATATACAGTGTTCTGCCTGCATGTATGCCTGCACACCAGAAGAGGGCAGCAGATCTCATTACAGATGGTTGTGAACCATCATATGGTTGCTAGGAATTGAACTCTCTGGAAGAGCAGCCAGTGTTCTTAACCACTGAACCATCTCTCCAGCCCATCCCCAGAAATTTAAGAGTATAAAATATAAACCTTTATAGCCAGTGGAAAATTGTGCTTCTAAAGCATCTTTGGGTCTGGGATATAGTTCAATGGATAAAACATGTATTTAATGTGATTCCTGGACTTAATCCCCAGGACCATGAAAACTAAAAATAGAAGAGTCCGACACAGTGCGACCAGCAGACCTTGCTCAGTCCCCAGTTGATGAGTCAGTAGGGCACCAGTTGTCAGGGCTTGCCTGGGACTCGGGAGACTCCTGGGCACAAGGTTTTTTAGCTTTTTACTGAAATGGTACTGGGCAATCGGAGTGATTTGGTCACTCTCCAGCAGCCAGGTTTGGAGGGTCACTGAGGCCCTGGGTGGAGCACGGAGGTTAACACAGTTCTGCTGCATTCTAAACACATTGTGGCCTCCATTTGATCCTTAGCAGCCGAGCTCAGAGTTGCTACCTCCAGCTTACTGGTAAGAATGTAAAGCAGGAGGGGTTGGGGATTTAGCTCAGTGGTAGAGCACTTGCCTAGCAAGCGCAAGGCCCTGGGTTCGGTCCTCAGCTCCGAAGGGGGAGAAAAAAAAAAGAACATAAAGCAGGGAGAGCTACAGATTAGTTGAGTTGAGGTTTGGATACAGGTTTGTTTGTGAAGCTAGGACTTCCCACACTGTCTTGTTCCTACTTCAAATGACATTTTGTCCCGAGGGCCTTGTTCATCTCACTTCTTTGTTTCTTTTTTTTAATGTATTTTTATTTTATGTGCATTGGTGTTTTGCCATGGGTGTTGGGTCCTTTGGAACCCGAGCTACAGACAGTTGTGAGCTGCCATGTGGGTGCTGGGAATTGAACCCGGGTCCTCTGAAAAAGCAGTCAGTGCTCTTAACTGCTGAGCCATCTCTCCAGCCCTTATCTCACTTCTACAACGGAGTTCAAGCCAAGGAATTCCAAGACAGCTTCAGAGTTTCTGGGGTCTTGACTTCACTGTTTCTCAAATGTGTTCTGTGAAACACTAACTATGTAGAGGCAAGGGGCGCCTAGTACATTTACTGTGGAAAAAATATATGTTAAGTGAACGTGTGTGCGCATGGGTGCGTGTGTCAGTGTTCCCCCTTGTATACTCAAATAGGTGTACATGTGGAGGCTGGAGGTTGGCACCTAGTGCATTCCTTTGTGGTTCTTCACAGTCTCTTCTTTTCCTTTTGAAATTTTAAAATTTTATTTATTTATTTTATGTGTATGATATTTTGTTCATATGTCTGTGTATCATGTGCATCATGGAATTGGAATAGAGTTATGAACAGCTGTGAGCTGCCCTGTGGGTGCTAGGAATCAAAACTTGTCCTCTGCAAAAACAAGTGCTCTTAACCACTGAGCCGTCTATCCAGCCGTCTTCACCTTATTTTTTGAGACAGGTTCTCTCACTGAATCTGCAGCTCACCATTTCAACTATCTGGCCAGTGAGTCCCTGGGGTCCTCCTGTCTCTCAGCTCCCAGAACTGGCATTATAGATTTGTACTATAATGTGTTCAGCTTTTATGGCAAGTGCCAGCATATGAGCTCAGGTCTTAGAGCAATTTACCCCCTGAACATCTGCCTAACCCAGTATTCTCTGAGGTAATATTTCAAAACCTTTAAAATGCCAATTAGCCACTCTTGACACGTGAATTCTAAGAATACATTTGGGAAAGTGCAATGAATGTTGTTAGTATACCCTTTCTATTTGCTTAGATATTGTTTCTTTTTTAGGTTTGAGTCTGAAAAGCTAATTCTCGTTGGGGACCCCAAACAGCTGCCTCCTACAATACAGGGTTCTGATGCAGCTCATGAAAATGGATTGGAACAAACTCTTTTTGATCGACTTTGCTTAATGGCATGTACTTCTAGCTACTTTAAGTTATCATGGATTGTATACTGTGAGGGTGGATAAAGGATGGAGATATGGTACCTTATCCTTGTTCTTAAATACTTTATAATTGGAGTTCTTTGGAAAGTATTCATCTTAAAAACATTTGGAATCCTCTTGTTCTAACATGCCTTTAAAACAGAAGTGTTTCTTAGTGTACATCACCTTCCATTATCCATGAGTATTCCATTTAAGAAGAACAGTGAGCCGGGCGGTGGTGGCGCACGCCTTTAATCCCAGCACTCGGGAGGCAGAGGCAGGCGGATCTCTGTGAGTTCGAGGCCAGCCTGGTCTACGGCGTGAGATCCAGGAAAGGCGCAAAGCTACCCAGAGAAACCCTGTCTCGAAAAACAAAAAAAAAAACAAAAAAAAAAAAAAAAAAAAAAGAAGAACAGTGAAGTGGCATTTCGTCACAGTACCAGCAACCACCACATTTGTCTAGGTACCCAGCAACCCCTACCTCTATCTAGGTACCCAGCAACCACTACTTAGTAGTAATGGAGAGAAAAAAAAAATTTTTCAGTAAATACTTAAATTTTTATTTATTTTTTGTTAGCATGCCAAAAATGGTTTTCACTGTGACATTTCCCTTATACATACATGTCATTCTCTTTTGATTATATTTGCATGCCCCTTCTCTCCCACCCCTACTGGTTTCCATCATCCCCCAATAGTTTCCCTTCAGCTTTCGTGACATTTGTATTCAATTACTCTCTGTTCTTCTGTTCTGCTCTCTTCTGATAGTCTTTCTGCTTTCATGTCCTGTGTGTGTGTGTGTGTGTGTGTGTGTGTGTGTGTGTGTGTGTATGTGTAAAGCGTAGGTATATTTAAATGTACATTTCATGTATGAAAAAAGTACAGTGTTTAGCTTTCTGAGTCTGGCTCATTTCATTGACATTCTGATTTCTAGTTCCATCCATTTTCATACAAATTACATCACTTCATTTTCTTTCTAAGTTGAATAAAACTGTTGTATATATGTACCATCTTTCCTTTACAAATTTGTTTTGTTTTGTTATTCTTGTGTAAGTGTGTGTGAGAGAGTGTGTGTTTCATGTGCTACAGTACATAATGTGGAGGTCAGAGGACAGCTTTCTGGAGTTGTTCTCTCCTTCCACTGTGGGCCCCAGGGATTGGACTCAGGTCACCAGGCTTGCATGGCAAGCACTTTTCAGCTGAGCCCCAGGTTTTCTTTATGCACTCCTCTATTGGTGAGTAACTAGACTGCTTCTACAGTTTTGCTGTTGTGAATAGTGGAATAAGAAACATGAGTATGCACATATGTCTGGTTTGCTGACTTAGAATCCTTCAGGTAAAACCCAGAAATGCTATATCTGGGTATAGTTTCATTTTTAAATTTATATATATATATATAAAATATATATTTAAAAATTTTTTTAAGGAACTTCTATACTGATTTCATAGTTGCTAGATCACTTTTCACTTCTACCAACATGAGACCAAAGGGTTTCCTTCTCCACCTGCTTGTTCATTTGTCATCATGTGTCTGCTTTTCTCTTTTTAATTTTATTTCTGAGATCGTATTGTTTTTATGCATAAGAGTGTTTGCCTATGTACCATGTGTGCAGTGCCTGCAGAGGCCAGAAGAGGGCACTGGATCCCCTGGGACTGGAGTTAGACAGTGACTGAGCTGCCATGTGGGTGCTGGGTTTTGAACACTGGTCCTCTGGAAGAGCAGCCAGTGCTCTTAACCTTGGCACCACCTCTCCAGTCCCCATTGTGTGTTTTCTTGATGATAGCGACTGGTTGAAATGCAATCTCAAAAGTTTTCATTTGCATTTCTCTAATGGCTAAGGATGATGAAGGCTTATTTTTTGTCTTTTTACATTTATTTATTTTGGGGGCAAAGTAGGGGGCACACATGCTGTGGTACAGATGAAGTCTTCAGACAACTTGTGTAAGGTATCTCCTTCTACCATCCGGGTTCTAGGGATCATAATCAGATCTTCAGGCTTGGCAACAAGTACCTTTAACCGCCAAGCCATTTTACTGTCCCAGGATGTTGAACACTTTTAAATGTATTTATTGACCACCTGTTTTCCTCTTGAGAACTGTGTAGTCAGTTTGCCCGTTTAGTGATGGGGTTAATGTTTGAGTTTTGGTATTTTGGGAGAGCTCTGGAGATTTCAGATATTAACGCCTGTCAGATGTGTAGTTGGCAGATTGCCTTCCATTCACCAGGCTCTCTTCACTCTGGTCATGGTTTATTTTGCTATGTAGAAAACTTTTTAATTTCATGCAGTTCCATTTGTCAATTCTTGTTTATTTTGTGTGTCATTTGTGTCCTTGTCCTTGCCTACATTTCCTCTACTTGTTACAGTTTCAGGTTTTATATTAAGGTCCTTGATCTAGTCTGGATTGGTTTTTGTGCAGGCTGAGAGATACACCTTCAGTTTCGTTCTTGCATGGTGTGTTTCCCCAGTGCCGTGCTAAAAAAGCTGTCTTTTTCTGTGCGAGCTCTGATAGCTTTGTGGGTTCGTTTCCCGGTGCTTTCTTCTGTTTCACTGGTTCCTGTGTCTGTCTCTGTACCAGTGCCGGCTGTTTTTGTTACAGTGACTCTGTGGCAGTTTGAGATCAGGATTGTGAGGTTCCTGGCGTTGATTCCTCTGCTTGGGATCACTTTGGCTAATTGGGATCCTTTGTGGTGTCAGTTGAATTTTAGAATTGCTTTTGGGTTTTGTTTGTTTTCTAGTTGTGTGAAGGATGACTGGAGTTTTGATGAAGACAGCATTGAATCAGTAAATTACTTTCAATAATACAGCCATTTTCTAATGTTAATTTCGCCAATCTGTGTATGAGAGGTCTTCTCATTTAATGTTTTCCATTTCTTTCTGTGTCTAAAAGTTTGCACCACAGAGCATGCAGAGATCTTCCACATCCCTGGTTAGGCTTATTCATAGGTATTTAAATTTTTTTATTATAAATATGAATTGCTCCCTAATGTGATTATTTATTTTTGTTTTTGGGGGGCGTGGTGAGACAGGTTCTCAGGTAGCCCAGGCTGTCCTTAAACTCACTATGTGTCCTTAGGCTACTAATCTTCCTGACTCTTTCCCACTTGCTGTGACACCACTCCCAGTCTGCTTTCTGTTAACACAAGTTCATTATTGCTGTATAGAAAAGTGCTGATTTTTATATGTTGATTTTTATTTGTAAGCTGCTACTTTGCTGGAAGTATTCATCAGGTCTAAGAAGTTTCTTTTGCAGTCTTTGAGTTTGTTTAAGGAAAAGATTATGTTATCTGCAAATAGGGATAATTTGACTTCTTTTCTTTCTTAATTTATTTAATTTTTTTTCATTTTACGTACCAACCATACTTCCCCCTCCCTCCCCTTATTCTGCTCCCCCTAACCTCCCTCCCACCCCATCCCCCATCTACTCCTCATAGAGGGTAAGGCCTCCCTTGGGGAGTCAACATAGGCTAACACACTGAGTTGGGGCAGGACCAGGCCCCTCCCCACTGCATCAAGGCCGAGCAAAGTATCCCACCATAGGGAATGGGCTCTAAAAAGCCAGTTTGTGTACACAGGATAAGTCCTGGTCCCACTGCCAGGGGCCCCACAAACAGATCAAGCCACACAACTGTCACTCACATTCAGAGGGTCTAGTTCGGTCCCATGCAGGTTCCCCAGCTGTCAGTTCAGAGTCTATGAGTTCCCATTACCTTGGGTCAGCTGTCTCTGGGGTTTTCCTTATCATAATCTTGACCCCCCCTTGCTCCTATAATCCCTACTCCCTCTCTTCAACTGAATTCCAGGAGCTTGGCCCAGTGCTTGGTTGTGGGTCTCTGCATCTGCTTCCATCAGTTGCTGGATGTAGATTCTATGATGACACTTAGGGTAGTCACCAATCTGACTACAGGGGAAGGCTAGTTCAGGTACCTTCTCCACTATTGCTAGGAGTCTTAGATGGGGTCATCCTTGTGGATTTCCTGGGATTTTCCCTGGTACCAGGTTTCTCCCTAACCCCATAATGGCCCCCTCTGTCAAGATAGATCTCTTTCATTGCTCTCCTTCTCCATCCCTCCCCCAACTCTGCCATCTCAATCCTTCATGTTCCCATTCCCCATCCCTTTCCCTCACCCCTATCCCAGTTTACCCAGAAGATCTCAACTATTTCCCCTTCCTGGTATGATCCATGTGTGTCCCTCTTAGGGTCCTCCTTTTTACCTAGCTTCTCTGGGGTTGGGGATTGTAGCCTGGTTATCCTTTGCTTTGCATCTACTTATGAGTGAGTATATACCGTGTTTGTCCTTCTGAGTCTGGGTTACCTCACTCAGGATGATTTTTTTTCTAGTTCCATCCATTTGCCTGTAAATTTCATGATGCCATTGCTTTTTACTGCTGAAAATACTCCATTGTGTAAATGTACCACATTTTCTTTATCCATTCTTCGGTTGAGGGGCATCTAGGTTGTTTCCATGTTCTGGCTATTACAAATAATGCTGCTATCAACATAGTTGGACAAGTGTCCTTGTGGTATAATTGAGCATCTTTTGGGTATAAGCCCAAGAGTGGTATTGCTGGGTCTTGAGTTGGATTGATTCTCAATTTTCTGAGAAACCGCTATACTAATTTCCAGAATGACTGTACAAGATTGTACTTCTACTAGCAGTGGAGGAGTGTTCCCCTTGTTCCACATCCTCTCCAACATAAGCTGTTATGATCTTAGCCATTCTGACATGTATAAGATGGTATCTCAGAGTCGTTTTGATTTGCATTTCCCTGATGGCTAAGAATGTTGAGCAATTCCTTAAACGTATTTTGGCCATTTGGGATTCTTCTGTTGAGAATCCTCTGTTTAGATCTATACCCCATTTTTTAATTTGATTGTGTGGTATTTTGATATCTGATTTCTTGAGTTCTTTATGTATTTTGGAGATCAGACTTCTGTCAGATGTGGGGTTGGTGAAGTTCTTTTCCCATTCTGTAGGCTGTCGTTTTGTCTTATTTACCATGTCCTTTGCCTTACAGAAGCGTCTCAGTTTCAGGAGGTCCCATTTATTAATTGTTGCTCTCAGTGTCTCTGCTACTGGTATTATATTTAAGAAGTGGTCTTCTGTGCCAATGTGTTCTAGGCTACTTCCTACTTTCTCTTCTATCAGGTTCAGTGTAATTGGACTTATGTTGAAGTCTTTGATCCATTTGGACTTGAGTTTTGTGCATGGTGATAGCTATGGATCTATTTGCAATCTTCTACATGTTGACATCCAGTTATGCCAGCACCATTTGTTGAAGATGCTTTCTTTTTTCCATTGTACAGTTTTGTCAAAAATCAGGTGTTCATAGGTTTGTGGATTAATGTCGGGATCTTCAATTTGAGTCCATTGATCCATGTGTCTGTTTATATGCCAATACCAAGCTGTTTTTATTACTATAGCTCTATAGTAGTGCTTGAAGTCAGGGATGGTGATGCCTCCAGAAGTTCCTTTACTGTACAGGATTATTTGGCTATCCTGGGTTTTTTGTTTTTCCATATGAAATTGAGTATTGTTCTTTCCAAGTCTGAAGAATTGTGTTGGGATTTTGATGGGGATTGTGTTGAATCTGTTTATTGCTTTTGGTAAGATTGCCATTTTTACTATGTTGATCCTACCTATCCAAGAGCATGGGAGATCTTTCCATTTTTTTGATATCTTCTTCAATTTCTTTCTTCAAAGACTTAGAGTTCTTGTCATACAGGTCTTTCACTTGTTTGGTTTGAGTTACTCCAAGGTATTTTATGTTATTTGTGGCTATTGTAGTGGGTGATGTTTCTCTGATTTCTTTATCAGCTCATTAATCATTTGTATATAGGAGGGCTACTGATTTTTTGAGTTAATCTTGTATCCTGCCACAGTACTGAAGGTGTTTATCAGCTATAGGAGTTCTCTGGTAGAATTTTTGGGGTCACTTTATGTATACTATCATGTCATCTGCAAATAGCAAAAGCTTGACTTCTTCCTTTCCAGTTTGTATCCCTGATCTCCTTTTGTTGTCTTATTGTTCTAGGTAGAACTTCGAATACTATATTGAATAGATATGGGAAGAGTGGACAACCTTGTCTTATTCCTGATTTTAGTGGAATAGCTTTGAGTTTCTTTCCATTTAATTTGATGTTGGCTGTTGGCTTGCTGTATATTGCCTTTATTATGTTTAGGTATGTTCCTTATATTCCTGATCTCTCCAAGACCTTTATCATGAAGGGGTGTTGGATTTTGTCAAAGGCTTTTTTAGCATCTAATGAGATGATCATGTGGTTTTTTTCTTTCACTTTGTTTATATGGTAGACTACATTGACAGATTTTAGTATGTTGAACCACCCCTTCATCTCTGGGATGAAGCCTACTTGATCATGGTGGATGATTTTTTGATGTGTTCTTGGATTCGATTTGCCAGTATTTTATTGAGTAATTTTACATCAATGTTTATGAGGGAGATTGGTCTGTAATTCTCTTTCTTAGTTGGTCTTTGTGTGGTTTGGGTATCAGGGTAACTGTGGCCTCGTAAAAAGAGTTTGGCAATGTTCTTTTTGTTTTTATGGTGTGGAACAATTTGAGGAGTATTGATATTAGCTCTTCTTTGAAATTGTGGTAGAATTCTGTGCTGAAACCATCTGGCCCTGGGCTTTTTTGGTTGGGAGACTTTTGATGACTGCTTCTATTCCCTTAGGGGTTATATGTCTATTTAAATTGTTTATCTGGTTTTGATTTAATTTTGGCATGTGGTACCTATCCAGAAAATTGTTCATTTCTTTTACATATTCCAATTTTGTGGAGTACAGGTTTTCAAAATATGATCTAATGATTCTCTGGGTTTCCTCAGTGTCTGTTGTTATGTCCCCCTTATGCAAACTAACCAAAAGGCAGACAGAGAATATCCAAGTTAACAAAATCAGAAAAGAAAATCAAGATCAGATAAACAATAGAAGGGAATTCAGGGCAGGAATCCAAGGCAGGAACCTGGAGGCCGGAACCAAGAGAGAAGGCAGGGTAAGTTGCTTACTGACTTGTGAATCTTGCTATATTATACATGGGGTGGCACATCTATCTATCTATCATTAATCAAGAAAATGCCCCACAACTTGCCTATAGGCCAGTTTGATAGAGGAATTTTCTCAATTCAGGTTTCCTCTTCCCAGACGATTGTAGCATGTGTCAAGTTGACAAAAACTAAGAAACATAATACCTCATATGATTTCTGTTCTTAAGTCTGTTTGTACTGTATTGCTTTTCCTCACTGACATATGTTCAGTCATCCTTACAACTGTGGGATGAAACTAGATTTGTTATGGTGTATGATCTCCCTAATGGAGTTGAATTATTTTGTATGTATTTTATTGGGAATTTTTATAGCTGTGTTCTTCAGGTATATTGGTGTATGGTTCTCTTTTTTGTGGTGGTCTGGTCTTCTTTTAGTATCGAGGTAATGTTTGCTTTGTAGACCAACTTTGTAGAACAATTTTGCCTCCAAATGAAACCTCATACCATTCAGCAGTTACTCCCCACACCCTCCTCCCTCCAGCCCCTGGCAACCAGTCAGTAGTCTGCTTGTATGGGTTTATCTGTTTTGTGTTTTTATCTTCATGGAATCCTACAATATGTATCTTATATCTGTCTTTTACTTAGCATAGTTTTAAGGTTTGCCCACTGAGCCATCTCACCAGCCCACACTGTTTTGTTTTGTCTTAAATCATCCCGAATGGCAAATTTGTACTTACTAAATAACAACTTCCCATTCCTCCTTCCCTCCTGTACCTGGTAACCTCTGGTCTTCTTTCTGGAAGGCTTGGTTTGTGATCATCAGTGTTGTCAGAAATCACTGAATATTACTTTGTGTAGCTGTACATAATTTAGTCACCTCTCTACCATTGAAATCCTAGTTATATCTGTTACAAGTAATGGTCCTTGCAGTATTTTTATACCTGCGGCTTCATCCTAGGTTTTGCATGTGTGCTGATTTAGACTTAGAAATTTCACCAAGTCTGTACCGCTTAGAGTAGCGAGACTTGATGTCTTCATTGTTTTTTATGTTTCTCGTAGAAGATGCTTTGTTCATGAGGACATTAACTCTACACTTACTGTAAGTTTGTTATTGGCAGTCTTTGCACCTACTCAAGATGTTTTAATAACAACCGGAAAGTTTGGCCGATAGTGTGCTCAGAAGCTTGCTGGAGTGGTGAGACTTGGATGCAAGGACACAGTAGTGAGAGCTGGAGCTGTTTGAATATTCTGAATGAAACAGTGGCTTTAGCAAGGAAGACAGTGAACAGACTGTCAGTAACTTTCTGTGCTAGCAGGTGTTGAACGTCGGGCCTGGTGTGAACTAGGCAGCACCATGATGGCATTGGGCAGCCACCACAGCCCTCTTTTCACTTGGTGTTTTGAGACAGTGTCTGACTAAGTTGGCCTTGAATTCCTTGTGTAGTTCAGATAGAGCTTGGACTTGTGACCTGCTCACCTCAGCCTCCCAAGAGCTGAGATCACAGGCTTGTACTCCAGGCCTGCCTGATGTTAAAAGACCTTCATTATTAGGCCAGACTCCAGGTAGATTATAAAAGCATAATGTGGTGGGGGGAGCGAACATTAAGATTTGGTTTACTCTATATTTCATAATGTGTTTTAAATATTTTATCTGTAGTTTGTTCACTCATTGTTGTAATTTATCTAAGAGCATAAGAGCATGATGTAACACTAAAACGTTTTAAATGTGGTTTCTCTTTCTCTAGAAAAAAGGAAATGCTGTGTTTTAACTTTTTGTTTTCCTCCATCTAAATTTCTTAGGGTTACAAACCCATTCTGTTGAGAACCCAGTACCGCTGTCACCCTGTGATCAGTGCCATAGCTAATGATCTGTTTTATGAAGGAAACCTCATGGATGGCGTTTCAGAGACGGAGAGGAGCCCTGTCCTGGAGTGGCTGCCCACGCTGTGTTTCTATAACGTAACAGGAGCAGAGCAGGTGAGTGACGGCACTGTTGATGGGAATCATTACTTAATTTCCTGGTTTAGTGTTGTTGTTGTTGTTGTTGTTGTTTGCGTGGCTTCACTCAGTCTTTCTGTAGCCTTTCTGGGAAGATAATTTCAGATCTGTTTCTTACTCCAGGTCGAAAGCGAGAACAGCTTTCAAAATGTGGCAGAAGCTGCTTTTACACTCAAGCTAATCCAGTCACTGCTCGTAAGTGGAATAACGGGCTCCATGATTGGGGTGATAACATTATACAAGTCGCAGATGTACAAGGTGTGTGCTACATAGCATGATACTTATCACATACTAAACATCATAGTCTATGTTATAGTATTGGTGTTACACTATCAGTAGTTCACTTTGGTGCCTGAGACCTTGGGGACTGTCATTTGTGTACTTACAAAAGAATATTCTGATGTATTTTCTGGCCTGGATTTTTTCTGCATAACTCAATGTAAACCTAACAAGGTTTAATTAAATTCACTTTACAGCTGTTGGGACAAAATGTAAATAAACAGATTAAAGGAAGAAAATGAGGTGTATGCTTTGTGTCTGGGGACAGATGGAATTGAGACTGTTTTTCAAAATGTTCTTGCATTATTACATTTCATCAGTAAATTAAGGATGGATACCAGGTATTAATGTACATAAGAGCCAGTTACTTCTAAGTAGATTTTTATAGTCTTTTCTCTCTTAGTATTTTTTCTTTTTCATTATTAGTTACTTCTCAGTTCAAATTAGTATATAAAAATAAAATCCCTTCAATAGGTTAATCGTTACTCGATTATGCTTCATAAACAAAAATAATACTGTCATTTTTAATTTTAGAAGCTTTCTACCTAAATTCATATAAGTCGTAAGAAAGAAATAAACAATGCTCCTGAATTAGTTTACTCCAAATGGTTGCATTGTTGACCAGTTGGGGACTGAGTTCTTCATGATCTCTGCACTTCCTGAGCCTGTCCTTTCTCTACAGATATGCCATTTACTCAGTGCTGTGGACATTGGCCATCCCGACGGTAAAGCTGTGCAGGTGTCCACAGTGGATGCCTTTCAGGGCGCTGAAAAGGAAATCATTATTCTGTCCTGTGTGAGGACAAGACAAGTAGGATTCATTGATTCAGAAAAACGAATGAATGTTGCATTGACCAGAGGAAGGAGGCATTTGCTGATTGTGGGAAGTTTATCCTGTTTGAGGAAAAATCGACTATGGGGGCGTGTAATCCAACACTGTGAAGGTAAAATAAAAATGTACTTATTTCAAGCATTTTTAATTAGAACTGACTTTGTGGGGTCAGTCCCTGGGCGGTTAGTGTGGTTAGTGAGGAGTAGCTGTGACTCATGTCCCCTTGGGAGATGCCCGAGGGCACACGAACATGGAGACCCCTGTAAAGAAGTGTTCTTATGTTCTGTATCTTTTAAGGAAGGGAAGGTGGATTGCAACACGCAAGCCAGTGTGAACCACAGCTAGACCATCTTCTTAAAGATTATTTTGAAAAACAAGCAGAAGAAAAACAGAAGAAAAAGGAAAAAGAAAAGTCTAAGAATAAATCTCATTAACAGAAACAACCACCAAGCATGGCCAGGAGTGTTGGATTGGTGTAAATTCAGAATCTTTTTACACTGTGTATTTTTAATAGTTTTCTTTATTCTAAAGCCCCTAATACAAAAAGTTATATTATTTAAATAACATGCCAAATAAGTGCATGTAAAAATTTGCTCTTTAAAAAGGTCTGCATTTTATATTAAGATAGGCAGATGTTTGTGTGATAGACAAATGTCTTGTTTGTGAAAGAAACAAATTTTACAAGAGTCAGGAAGGCATTCAGTATGCATAAAAAATACATGGTGGTCTCAAAAGCACAGCCCCAGTCAAGACTACTAGCAGTTTCTTCTGAGCTGGAACATTGGGATTGAAATACATGAATTGGCCCAGCATTTAAAAACTAAAACCATTAACAGTAAAAACTTCAATAAAAAATACAGGAGAGAAGGTGAGTCACAGCACTGTGCCGCATACAGTAGGTGCTGTAAGTCTCCGGGCAGTGGACGGGACAAGTGGACGGGCCGGGCCACTTTCAGCTCTCCTCGGGTCTCCTCCCTGTGCACTTACCTGCACAGTACTTACTGTATATATGTAGAATAAATGGATAATGTACAAAATAGAAAAGTGTACAAAATACAGAAGCTATATAAAAGAAAACAAAATTACCTAGAAATCCACTGTTCAGGTTATCATTAACAAATTGCTCCAGTCTTTCTGTGTTTATAGTCACTCTGTAAATATATACATGGAAGTTTTAGGCATTGTTAATAAAGGAATGTATTCATATACAGATGGAAAAAATGGCAAAGTCTTGATCATAATTGATATGTGTATTTATTTTTAGCAAATAAAACATTTTAGTGACCCAAGTCATTTAGTGTTTATTTAAGAATTATTTTAGCATTTATTTCAAGAACACAGAAAATTGTTTCCTTAAATTTCCTTGTAATAAAATCTTACCAGTCTAGGGCTGGCAGGATGGTGCAGTGGGTAGAGGTACTTTGCTACCAAGCTTGACAACCCTGAGTTTAGTCCTGGATCCTCACATGGTGCACAGCAGGGAGAGCCGACTCCTGCAGCTTATCCTCCGACCACACACGTGCCATGGTCCACAGGGCCCACCCCTCTCACATATACTAAATAAATTAATGTAATCAAAAAACGGTAGCTGATATTTACATTAAAAATGATAATTGTCTCTGTGGAACTCCTGTGTGAAAGAAAAAGTAAATCCAACCATAGTTACTCTTTTTCATTTGTGTGTGGGCGTGTTCATGCTTGTGTGTGTACATGTGTGAGTAGGGCAGGTGACAGCAAGTGTCTGCTATTACTCCATACATTATTCCTTTGAAATACCGTCTCTTGGCTGGAGAGATGGCTCAGGGGTTAAGAGCACTGGCTGCTCTTCCAGAGGTCCTGAGTTCAATTCCCAGCAACCAATGGTGGCTCTCAACCACCTGTAATGAGATCTGGTGCCCTCTTCTGGCCTGCAGGGACACATGCAGGCAGAACACTGTATATGTAATAAATAAATCTTTAAAAAAAGAAAAAAGAAAAGGAAAGGAAAAGAAATAAGGTCTCTGAACCTAGAGCTCATGGTTTTTTGACTAGGTTGATTCTCCTGCTACTCTTTGTCTTTCTCAGATCTGAGTGACAGGCATATGGGAGGTCACCTAACCTGTTGTGTAGGTGCTGGTATCCAAATTCTGGTCTTCATGTTTGCTCAGCAAGTGTTTTTGCCTGCTGAGCTATCTGCAATCCAGGAATTACTCTTTTTAAGTGCTCTGTGAAGTAAATGATAAGATTCCCCGTGTGTCTTTACAATGTATGAGGAATATTTGAAGCAAGAATTATAGAACTGTGCTTTGCCTGTGGGCTGTGTAATATAACAACTAATATTTAAAATGAATTCCTGTACTTTGCTGTTCAAACTTCCCATTTTTTAAAAAAGATTTATTTATTATATATAGTGTACTGCCTGCATGTATCCCTGCCCACCAGAAGAGTGCACCAGATCTCATTATAGATGGTTGTGAGCCACCATGTGGTTGCCAGGAACTGAACTCAGGACCTCTGGAAGAGGAGCCTGTCCTCTTAACCTCTGAGCCATCTTTCCAGCCCCAAACCTCCCATTGCTGTGGGATGGTCTGTATGGCAAATGTGTTGCTGATTAGTCAATAAATAAAACACTGATTGGCCATTGGTTAGGCAGGAAGTGTAGGCGGGACAAGGAGGAGAATAAAGCTGGGAAGTGGAAGGCTGAGTCAGAGAGACACTGCCAGCTGCCACGATGACAAACAGCATGTGAAGATACTGGTAAGCCACGAGCCATGTGGCAAGGTATAGATTAATGGAAATGGATTAATTTAAGCTGTAAGAACAGTTAGCAAGAAGCCTGCCACGGCCATACAGTTTGTAACCAATATAAGTCTCTGTGTTTACTTGGTTGGGTCTGAGCGGCTGTGGGACTGGCAGGTGATAGAGATTTGTCCTGACTGTGGGCCAGGCAGGAAAACTCTAGCTACAAATGGCGCCCAATGTGGGGCAAGAGTTTCCACCTAAAAACTGAGGAAAAAAAGATTCTAAAATGGAGCTAAAAACAGCTTCCTAATTGTCTCTTTCAAATGAGCGGCAGCTGCAGGTTTGAGCTACTGGTGGGTTCCTAGCGTGCGTGCTCGACCTGCAGTATGGCAGGAATGAGGCCTCTGCAAGTGGCACATTAAGCTGCATGGTGGATTTAGACTTTGCTAGTACAAAACAAAAAAAAGAGGTTTCTGGGCTATACGCTGCTTGGATAAAAGCATAGACCCACGATAGCTCCCAGAGCTGGCGGTAAAGTACCACGGCCATGTTGGGAAGCTGAGGTGGACAGAGCCATCAGCCACAGCTGCTGCAGCTTAAAGAAATAGATTCACAATAAGACAGATTCAGATGTAATAGTTTAAAATGTGTGTAAAATATTCGTAGGCTTGAAAGAGACAAAAAAGGTGATATATACAGTTATATAAACAAATACATAGTTTTAAAAAATAAAGTCTTTAAAGAGACAGTAAAATTAATATAAAAATAAGCCACGTAAAGATGAATATTACACAGAGAATCTGGATTGTGTTGTCTTTGGGATTTTTTTTTTTTTGGTTTTTCGAGACAGGGTTTCTCTGTGTAGCGTCTTTGGGATTTTTAACTGCAGAAAAACATTTGATTGTAAAAGCTGTTGAGTTATGCCAAAATGTATATTTTAAAAGTACCTTGACTTCAAAATTTGGATATAAGGATATGTTGCTTTGGAAAAGAGTCTCTGCTTTTGTTCCTACAGAAAGCCAAAGGCTATGGATTTGTTCCAGATTAAGATACATCAGGTTTGACCCACCAAGACCCCCTGAAAGATCTCCGATGACACCATGACCCAGATGATCCAACATCCAGAATGGTTTGAAGGCAACTGACTCAGACGATACAGCCTCACGGACTACTCCATGATCCTAAAATTTTCTTTGTGTCCCCATAAGATACAGCGCCCCCCTCCAGCAGGAAGTAGTAAGAGAAGCTATGCCCAAATTCCCAAATTATATGTAATTTTACTTTGTTAAGGTTAAAACCTTCCTTTATGAAAAAAAAAAAAAAGGGGGGGGGGAATAGAGATTTGTCCTGACTGTGGGCCAGGCAGGAAAACTCTAGCTACATCTCATGTTCTTTTTTTCTTAATTTTGAGTCTTTTCTTGGCTAACTCGAGCAAAGGTTTCAAGTGATTTTATTTTCTAAGACAAATAAAGAGCTATGTCTTTTGTTTACTTTAATTTTTAAGGTTTATTTTATTATTTTTATATATATAATCGTCTTGCCTACATGTATGTGTATATATCACCAAAATGCCAAGACTTACAAAATGAAGAAACACCAGCTCTCAGAGGCAAATCTGTAAGAGACCTTTGTAGAGATTCTGAAAACCAAGAAAGGATGGTATGCGAGTTCAAGCCCTGATTGTGAATAATTGCCAGACAAATATCTAGTAAAATTATCTTCTAAGAGTAACAGAGAACTTAACAAGCATTTCAAGACAGGCACAAACTAACCAAACTCATGATGGCCAAGCCAGCATTGTAGGAGATATTAAAGGAATCCGACACAGAGGAAGAAAATCACAGTCGTGAGAGTACAGAAAATAATAAATTTCATGAGAGGAGTAGATGAACAAAAAAGCTAGTGAAGGATAAGAATCGGTTGTGTTCAACTCAGAAAACCCTAAAACTGTAAGGAAAGAGAGACAATAAAAGAACAAACACTGATTGAACCAAGCAGGGAAACACAAAAGTACAGGAACCAGCCTGTCCCTCTCAACAACTCAGAATGTACACTGTCATTAAAAAGACCTTGCTATTGGGCTGAAAAACAAGATCTAACTTCTTGTTGTCTATAAGAAAAACACCTCTCTGGCAGACATGCACAGAGAGTCAAATGATGTTAGTTGGTATACCAAGCCAAAGTTATAATGAACTCTGGTAAGGTAGACCTCAAGCAAAATGGTAAGATAAAAGAATGTCACTGCATTTTACTGACAGGAGTAATTCATCATGAAATAATGGTGTACTCAAGTTCAAAAAAGCATAGCAACCACTCTTAGCTATGAAAGTCAGTGCTGTCCAGTTACGGTAATAGTGGGCAACTTCAATATCCCATTCTCATTACTAAGGACGATTCAACACACAAATCAGTACATGTAACACAGACTCATGGGCAGAAACCACATGATCATCTCAATAGAGACAAAAGGGTTTTGACAAAATTCAACATCCCTTTGTGATAAAAATTCCATATGGAAGTAGGAATAGAAGGAATATACCTCTAAACAGACTCATAGGGAAGAGGAGGGTAGGTAATGGGGTGGAATGGAGATAAGGTGGTAATAGTAATAATTTGTGTGTGTGTGTGTGAAATTGTCAAAGAAGAAATTTGATTTTTTAAAAGGCTATATTGGCCCGTTGTGGTGACACACACCTTTAATTCTGGTATCCAAGAGGCACAGACAAGCAGATCTCTGCAAATTTGACACCAGCCTTTTTACACAGGGAGGAGTTCCAGGCCATCCAGGGCTACAAAGTGAGACCTGCCCCTCCCTTGAGAAGGCTATATTATGCCAACCTGTAATCTACATTGTATTGAAAGGGAGAAAAATTGAGAGCATTCCACCAGAAAACTCTTAGAGCTGATAAATGCTTTCAGCAAAAGATCAGAATACAAGTCAGCATTAAAAACTTAGAAATTTTTCTTTATATCAGTGATAAAATTTTCTAAGAAGTGCCAGGTTGAAAAAAAAAATCTCATCCACAATAGCTTCAAAAAACAAAGTATCTGGCTGGAGAGATGGCTAAATGGTTAAGAATGCTTGCTGTTCTTGCAAAGGACCCAGGGTTCAATTCCCATCACCCACATGGAGGCCCACCACTTTCTCAGCACCAGGCATGCATGTGGTGGACAGACACACATGCAAGCAAAGCACTCAGACACACAAAACATTTTAAAAAGCATAAAATTTCTAGGAATAAACCTTGGGAGCCAGTCTAGATCCAATCAATGGATAAAGAAATGCACACACAGGCGCGCGTGCACGCGCACACACACACACACACACACACACACACACACACACACACACATGCGCGCACACACACAATGTTTTATTCTGCAGTAAAGAATAAAATAACATTCCCAGAAAAATGAGAGGACTGGAGATCACCGTGTTAAATGAAACAAGCCAGATCCAGAAAGAAACTTTTCTATTATATACAGAATGCAGATTTTTAAATAAATGACATGAGAGTTGAAGGGGAACTATGTAGGTAGGAGAAGGTGTATAAGGGGAGATGGGAGGTGGGGCAAGAGAGGGTAATGGGAGAAAGACAAATATGTTTTATTTTGAGGCAGATCTCTACCTATCTGATATGGAAGCTGAAGGGAGACTATTTGGGGAACACAAGAAAAGGGGTAATGGGTGAGTGAATATGAGTAAAGTACAGTGATAAGAATGTATGAGGATGTCATAAAAAAGCCATATATTGTATATAAACAAAAATTGAGAGAATATAATAGAAGAAAAGGCTCCAGCATGCTACTCAAAGCAAGGAAGAACAATGCTTAACTGAAGTGTATTAGTAGCCACGCTGGTTATTCTTACAATTCTCATGATTTGATAATCAAAAGTGGGTTGAGACAATATACTTGTTTTATGATTCTCTCCTCTGCAGCCAATCCTGTGTTTGGAAGCATATATTACAAGTTAAATTCTGAAGTTACAAAGCCCAGTTTTAAACTTCAAAATAAAATGTAACTTTTGGCATTATTATTTCACGTTTGAGAAAACATGGTTGATTTGAAAATGCCAAGGCAAACCCCCGAGGCTGCATGCTCTCAACTACAGTTTAATTTGAAGGCAGCTGTGAAGTAGCTTTATACTAATTAGATTTTTTTATATTAAATAAGAATGAACTGGAAATTGGTGATTTACTTGACAGATAATTGGGCTTTGAAAATTAAATAATTGCTCTAAAAACATTAACTCAGCACTGATTTGAAATGCCTGCTTTGTTATTACTCATGAGCAGAAAGTAAGTTTGGTCCAAGTTGCATTAATATGATTTGATTACACAGTCAAGGAAAAATACTGCCTACCTCTCCCTAATCCTCCATTCTTTCCACCCAGAAACACTAGTTGTATTGATTAGTCTCAAGTTACTGGTTTTCCTTAATTTTCTACTCTCTAATTAAACAAATTTGAGTGGGGATAAATGAGTGTGTGAGAGCATGTGTGTAAAAAATTACGAAGTGGGCAACAGAATAGTCTAGTTCAAGTCTCCACAACACGTGTGTGCAGCTTGTTTTATGGGTCAGCCTAGCCAATGAGGGACTGGTTACATGCTACTCTAACCTCAGCTCCTGGAGGAAAGGTATACTCTCCCTTACAGAGAAACTTTCAAGCATTCTAGAAGTACAAACACTGGGCTCTGACCACTCTTGGAATATGCCCTTCTTCCTCCCCTCTTCTTACTTCCTCTCCTCCTCCTCCTCCTCCCCCTCCTCCTCGTTCTCCTCCTCTTTCCTCTTTAATATATAATGCCTGGGGACTGGAGAGAAGACTCAGAAGTTAAGAGCACTGGCTGCTTTTCCAGAGGACCAGGGATCAATTCCCAGCACCCACATGGCATCTCACAGTCTTCTATAGCTCCAGTTCCAAGATTTCTGACACCCTCTTCTGGCCTTTGTGGTTAGTACATATATATATATGCACGTGGTGCACAGACATACATGCAGGCAAAACACCCATATACTGTAAGATTAATCAATTTTTAAAAATTGTTCGTGTGTGTGTGAGAGTGAGAAAGAGAGAGAGAGATCAAATGGCGTCCTTCATTGTTCTTGTGGCTCCTTTTAGGTATTGGAGGACCTATGTGGTATTTTTTTTTTTTTGTTTTTTGTTTTTCGAGACAGAGTTTCTCTGTGTAGCTTTGCGCCTTTCCTGGAACTCACTTGGTAGCCCAGGCTGGCCTCGAACTCACAGAGATCCGCCTGGCTCTGCCTCCCGAGTGCTGGGATTAAAGGCGTGCGCCACCACCGCCCGGCTATGTGGTATTTTGAATGGATGATGGTAACCTTGAACACCATGGTGCCATCAAATAGGTACAGAATCAGGGAACAGCAAAAATGTAATAAACAGCAAGCAGGCTACTCATAACAATCATCATTTGCTAATAATACCTCATTGTTCGGAGAGAGGGGGTGGGGCGGGGAGGTGCATGCCTTTTATTGCAGCATTAGGGAAGCAGAGGCAGGCAGATCTCTGAGTTGGGGGTCTACAGAGGGAGTACCTGGATGCACAGGGCTACAAAACCCTGTCTCAAAAAACCAGACACACTGGAGAGGCGCACGGACAACGTTTATCTGTGCACACACCGCATGGATTCGCTGAGACGCACAGCTAAGCCCTGTTCACTGTCTGGAGTCGAAATCTTCCTAGTTATTGGGCCCCGTCGTCGCTTCTGGTTGGACAGCGAAATTCTCAGAACAGACTTGAGGCCCACGTGCCATTGTTCTCAAGCTTGGCTGCCGACAGAACCCCGAGGGGAAGTGTTGGTCAGTCTATCTCC